TATGTCTCGACTTACGTCGCATATTTCGAGAACTTAACATTCCGTAAGTGGGGGGAAGGGGATTGTTAGTAATGTCTTTTGACCCCATTACTAGCAATGCACCATGTCTGATTGACCTCTAAATGGTTCCCCCTGGAAACCATCGTGATAAATTCCTGGTGAATTTGTCACGATGGGCTAACTGACCTAACTTCATGCTCATCTTATCATCCACTGGTGCCCCGCCAGTGCAAACCGTTAGCGCTGGCGGGTGCACCATTTCATTATCTATTTTTACAATACTTGTCTGTCTGTTTGTTCCGGCTAATCTCTGAAATGGCTGGACTAATTTTGGCAGGTAGCTGATGTAATACGGGGTAGCTTAGACCACTTTTATTTTAGAAAAATTAAGTTAAATTCCACGCGAACGAAGTCGCGGGGTCAGCTAGTCCATCCATAAAAATAACATAGTCTGTAGCTCTTTTGTTATCTATACGTACGCTGTTCGTATCTTGTGACTGAAAATCAGCGCTGTGGTATAACATAGTTATAAATGTTGAGTGAGTCACATTCAGTCTTGCCAGTATGTTTTAGCTTTTAAAGTGTATAGTAGATATAATTGTGGATAACAATGCTGATGTAATGCTCAATAAATGTCTTTTTTTATTATTACTATATGTGCGATAGTTGTACAGGTTTAGTCGGAAATGGTATACTTAGCAGCAGGGATATGAAAGTAACTATGGTATCAAACAACATTAGTTCAACAATTTTCCCTGAAAACATATTTCTTAAAAAATATATACATAGTTAATTTCTTCAAAAAAAATGGCTTCAAAGTTGTTTAACAAAAATTCAACAAAAGACAGCCCTAATATTACTTTTTTTTATTACTTATCATCAAGAACATCGGCCGTTTTTGATTGGATACCAAAGAATAGGGTTGCCGATTCTTTGTAATCCTTACTAATATTATAAATGCGAAAGTAGCTCTGTCTGTCTGTCTCGCTTTTAAGACAAAACTACTGAACCGATTTAAATGAAATTTGTTACACAGTCCAGACCCTGAGAAAAGATATAGGCTACTTTTTAAAGCAAAAAAAAAGGTTGTAAAGGGTTGAACAACCTTTCATCTCCCCTAGATGAAAGGTTGTATGAAAGTAACGTCATTTTTAAAGCTAGATACTTGAAAGTTATTGTTCCGACTGCTGATTAAATATAAATGAAGAAAAAGACTTGTAAGGGGTTGAAAGAGGAGATGAAAAATCGTATGGAAGTATTGTCATTTTCAAAGCTGGAAGCCTGAAACTTATTTTTTAGGCTGTCGATTGAGTTGTACGGAATTCTGTATAGAAATTAGTCATTTTGAAGCAAAAACGATGAAACTTTATTAAATATTTTTTCATTTTTGGTCAAGGTCACGATTTTAAAAGTCACTGCTAGTAACTAATACATGTTTATTTTTGTATGAAAAACAAATTATCGCTGGATCAATTAGTTATTAGTAATATGTTACAGCGCTAGCGGTTTAGTATATACCCTTTCTGACTAACTCTTTATATATATATATCAGGGGTGGCCAACTTGATTAGACTCAAGATCTCCTGTTTAATATTGAAACTCTGTGCGATCTACCAATTACATACTTAATGATATCTTAAATGAAACAGCACATTTTATTAAGAGAGAAATCATAAATGTGAAAATTATTCTGAGCATCTTCCACTAGTTTGGCATAATCAGGTTTGTAGTTGGAAAAATCGAACCTTTTTTACGATTATGTTGCACAGTCTGGTCTGTTTTTATATTTTTTGCCACAATCTATTGGACTAACAGATCGACCTGTTGGCCAAACCTGCTGTATATACTAATGGTCGCCCAGTGGTCCAAATTCGACCATAATTAATTTAACATCCAGTAAGACTAAACTATGTGCACTGTAGCATGGTGTGGGCGACAGTTGCCTGTATAACGTTTTATTTGTAGACTAGAACATTCTGGATGCGTTAAAATTAAGTTACCACAGTTATTAATCTATACATGTATACATATTAATAAAATTGGAGTGTCTGTGTGTAATATTCAAATAACCGTTTTTACTACATGCATATGAATATAAATACGGTACATACATCAAAATAATGTTTTTTACAATTTCTGTCTGTCTGTCTGTTTCTTACGGCTAATCTTTGAAATGGCTGGACCGATTTTGATGGGACTTTTTTTTGGCAGGTAACTGTTGTAATAAGGAGTAACTCAGGCTACTTTTATTTTAGAAAAATAAAGTAATGTTGCAAAATACCACGCAGACGAAGTCGCGATTACAGCTATTGATTTAATACATTACGAATACCACATTCGTTGACATACCACAGCTGAAATACTAAGTCATAACTTGTAAATCGCGGCAACTTTCAAGAGTGAAACGAAGCGTTAATGAAACTGTCACCCGTACCATGCCATAGCGCACGTGGTATAGCCAAATAATATCAAAGACAATATTAATCTATTCCCAATTCGACCACAGACTTTAAACATAAACAAAAGAGTATATATGCGCGTGTCAAATGCATGGCAGTGTGTAATGTTTTTTTATATTATTTAATGTACCTATTATTTATATTTTTTTAAATGTATCAGTATTCTGACTTGTCTGTATAATCTATAAGTGTTCGAAATTTCATATGGAGGACTTAGTAAGTTAGAAAGTTTAAAAAGTTCTTTTCTGTGGAAACTATTTGAAAGTTAAAATTTTTTTTAATCTTCACTCGGTTATTATTTATACGTACAATTAGGAAAAATCACGAGACCTTAACTAATACACGAGTATACATGAGTATCGATCGAGTTTCAATAGTAGCAACAAAAGAAGACATGTGAAGGTAAACGAGTATGTTGGAAATAGAAATAATCTTTATTCAAATAAACTTAATATAAGCACTTTTGAATAGTCACTTTCTTTTTTATTCCACCACTTATTTAACGAAGACTCATTACAATAAGAACGAACAAAAAATGCAACACGAACCTCGTGTTGCTATTTTAAATAAATGTTGTTTGAAGCAGATACATAAATACATTAACAAGGATTAGGCATGCGACAATCAATATAGCTATCGCTACCCATAAAAGATTTTATTTACCATCTACCCACCGCTCTTTAGTTTACTTCGTTAGTGATCATGGCGGTTGAAACAAAACGTGGTAAGATCCCGTGATTTTTACTGAGTTTATCTTTCTTTATAAGTAAATAAGTGATCTAAATGTACTTTATTACTAATCCATTGAGAAATCGAAACAGAAGATAAGTTTCCTATTTCCGTTTGTTTAAAAAAAATTACTAGATTTTTTATATGGAATAGTGCACGCCTGCGCTAAAGGTATACGCTGCCGGGTCACCAGTGGAGGATGATAGGATGAGCATGAAGTCAGGTTAGTTAGCACATCGTGGCGAATTCACCAGAAGGTAACCGTAACGTAGGTAGAATGCACCATTCTATTATCATACATTACAAAAAGTTATATAAAGTGAGGAATAAATGCGAACTGGATTTTTTAAGCTCTTTTGACAATTCTCAGATTCTTAGAATGTACTCATACAACATATAATTACACATAAATGCAATAAGATGACACTTCTTTCAGTAAAAATACCTAATTAGTATTAGTAGAATATATTTTTTGAACCTTTGAACATTGTGGGACCTCCAGGCGACTGATTGTGTAACGCAGTTGCAATCGTTTCCATTGAGCGAATGAAATTGAATATTTTGTACGATTACGTATTAAGCATTCGATAGCAACAGTTGCAGGGTATCTCAATTGCAACTACAAAGTTGTTCATACATTTGTATAACTATACAGAATTAGTAATAAAGGACCAAAAGCCAAACAGAATACATACGAAACTGAATCATTTCCACTAAGAAATAAAGTGCAAATCTGAAAATACACTTTCAAAGCTATTGTACAAACTGTGCGGTCATGTGATCAATTTAGTATGAATAGTCCAAAAATTTCTAATTATTCCTTAGTACAGAACTAGGTCTTGTAACATTGTTGAAAAGCAATGAATAATTTTTTTTTTTCTTTCTTTCTTTCTTTTAGTACTAATGCTGTATCTATCCTTGGCGAGTTGAATATCTCAAGCTATGTGAAAGCAATACAATACCACTGTGCTACCATTATTCTATTACTCGACAATCCAGACAATAATTACAAATATTTATATCGGATTTAGTTGATTTGCTCCCTCATTCATTAAATCTATGACAACACAGTAAGTGTAGAACAATTCACACAGCGTCATCTAGTCTCAAAAGTGGCAGTTTCACAAACGTTAGTGGCAAAAAAATTTAAAGCAAAAAGGTAATTACCTCTTCTAGACCAGTAGCTGTATAACAAAGCTTTATATTTTACTTTCAAATAAAGACAACTTATAAGAATAAGACAAAACAATTAAAATAACGTATTAATTTAATTTAATTACTAAAACCGATATAAATATGTCGTAATGACATACAATCGTAATTAAACAACATTAATAAATTTATTTTTAAATTAAAACTTAATTATTTAATTATAACAATAAAATAAAATTAGTTTGTCCATTTCTTCACTGGATTAATGCACGAGGAATGTAAATTTGTAGAGATTCTTATGTAATATAACTATAATATATGTGTTAGTATTATTTACAATAGTAATGCAGTATATTAATTAGCTCAGCTATATAACGGGCAATCCACAAATTACGTCACATATTATGAGAGAGAGAGAGAGAGATAATTATGATGAAAAATTATTTCTTTTCATTTTATGCAATTTTTATTTCTTTTGTGACATATCATTACCCTTCGTAAGGGCCCCCAAACAAATTTTTATACGGGGACCCGCCGTGAGGTGCTAAGGCACGCTACGCTTCTGATTAAAAATGTTTTGAATTATTTATTTATGGGTGTGAAATATTCGATATCACTATGGAGATGGGTATGAAATGTGACCAACTGTTACATGGGGGAATAATTGAAAAAGGTATTAAATTCTTGTGACGCAATTTATGGATGATCCTTTAAGAGAACGATCACGTAGGACGCTAAAAAGTATTAATTGCAACACCTGACTTACCCACAGTTGTGCCCGTCAAGTTATTGTAAGAGTTGACCATATGCTTGTTTTGGTATTACTACCATTGTAGTATAAAAAATAATTTACCGCCGTATTTTGAAATAATTTGGTTTTATATCGGTGTTTCTATCACCGGATAGTCAGAAATATTATTAGATATTTTTAGTGTCTGGCTAGATTTGAACTCATGATCTCTAAAAGTCAAAACAATAAACAACCAGGCCACAACGCTCTAATAACATATATGAAATATAATATACTTTTAAATAAACTGTGTGACACATTATAAATTCCAACATATATATGAACATTACTACATAAAACTATTTTTTTGTACAGCACCTAAACATCTAATTACTATTCGAAATTAAACATGTTATCCTTTCCATAGACATTTTTTTTTCTTTTAATATCAATTCTAAATTAAAAGTTAAAATACTAATTAAAAACATTAACAAAAGCAATGAAACTGGATTAAAATGGCAACTAAACTCAATTATCACATTTTGATGTATGGATTTACCATTAACTGTAAGATGGTCATAGACAATACCATAAATGAGGGATGGCGGACATTTATGTATACTATTTATTTATTTAATAAGGCTATACGTAAAAATTAATTATCTTGTCTTTTAACGATTACCTGGAAAATAATAATCTTTACATATAATAAAAGCGTAAAATATGTGTGCTTAATTGTTAATACTCGAAGTAAAAATAGCTCGAGAAATTACTATAACCTTTTAGGATATAGAATTATTACATAAGCATTAACATATAAGCTAAAGAAAGTTCGGAAAACCACGGCCAAAAATTATGAATATTCTCTATATGCCACCTACAATTTAATTTATCAAATAATAGATGGCGCTGTATTTTGATACGTAAGAAATATCTATGTTATTTTGTATTAAAATACAAAGCGCTTTGATCGGTGGAGCGCCCTAAATGTCATGCCATTGATTCGCCATCCCTACTAAAAACTATACGCAAACGTAAATATACCATAACATGTATAATGTTTTTGCAATTTAGTATCTAACTGTTTATACAGTAGTTCGATTTTTGATTGCGTGTTAGCTTCTCCATGCATTTACATATGAAACTACTATACATGTAATTTACAAACTATTCCCAAACATCATTCTATCGTCATACAAACTTAACCTGTTACATTCGCTGGCTCTACCTTTCTGCAGCGCTCGGTCTCTTCTAGCCTTCCTTACCGCTGCTGGCAGATCACCCGGTGTCTTCACCCTACCTGCTGGATTCTGTAAAGTCACGTCACAAGACGAGGAAAATATTTCGCTGACTTGCTCTAGAGAATGTTGCCGCTTTATTGACAATGTCTTTAAAGCTGGCTTCGGAGATTTCGGACTCCTCTCAACGTTTTCCGGATTCAAATACTTCAAATCTGTCGTATCGATTTCGCCGTTGAGAGCTGCTAAATAAACAGGATTATCACCACTGTATGCATTCACTAAATTCTCCTTATCTTGTGGGTCACTGAATTCATTATCAAAATTTGTATACTTCGTCTGATATTTATTGAAACCGAAATCTTTTACTTGACTTGACTCTTTCAATACTTCGTTTTGGTATTTCTTGATATCGGGTTCTAGTTTTGATACGGTCTGCATCGTGATTTTGGAGCCTCCATTCTCTGATAGTAGCAACAAATGCTCGTCTTCACTACTCGAACAGTCCGAATTAATATCAAATGGGCTGTTATTATAATTTGGCTGAGTATTTATATATTGTAGTTCCAAATTGATGCTTGCTCTAGATGAACCACCGCTGTTGGAGTTTGTTATGATTTTATTGTCGCAACTCAGTCGTTTCTTTACTGTAGAGTCTTCGGATTCTGAATTTGCTGATTTGAATATTGATTGGGATGACGTTGAGGATCTAAACTTGTTGATACTCTCGGAACTGCCTTTGGAATTCTTGTTTCTTATCTCCACAAATTCAGATGGTTTAGATTTTGGTACTATTACCGCAAAGATCTGGTTTGGTTGTCTATTCTCATTTTCAAGTGGTATCTCTTTGAAACCGAATACTTTGTTTTCTCTGTTCAATTCAGATTCCAACATCATTGTAGGTGATAAAGTTCTATTAGGCGGTGATAGTGTACATGGTCCTTCGAAATTATAATTGTCTTGACTCAGTGTCAAATTGGAAGGTCTATCAAAGGTTATGTTACTCGGCTTTTCTATTAGAGAGGTCCTTATCCTACTGTTCTGTACGTTACACGTTTCCGGTACTAATTTTACTTCCGTTTCTAGCTTGGGGTTCTTGTTGAGGCGCTCAAAGAACCTCCTGATCCCCCACTTGGGTTTCTCCACTTTCACATCTTGTAATAGATTTGTTTGCTTCGGACCCCTATCGTCGTGTGATGTGACGTCATTCTGCACGTAATCTAAAGGTCGTTGGTAGGACCTGATTTCGTTCATTCGTTCAGAGTTTTCTTGCATTTGTTGTCTTGGAGTCGTTCTGGCCACAGATAAACAATTCTCTTCTACGTTCTGTACTCTAGCGCCATCTACAGGTGCTGTAATATCTTTAAGGCTTTTGTGTATAAGTTCGACAGTGTGTGTCTGTGTGTTTGTATGCGTGTTGCGTTCGATACATGCGTTTCTACCAATGTGTGGCTGGGGGTATAGGAGGGGTGTAGTGACGTCACAGGTCTGCGGTTGGCTCGTTGTGCAGTTGGAGTTCTTATCTGGCTCCGAATGTGGGTTGGCTGCATCTGTTTTATAAAGTAGAGATATTTTAGATGCAAAAACTCGAAACAACTATATCAAGCCGAATGGCCGGCGTGGTAAATAAAACCTAAAGTTACTTATTCCTAAAGCCTTACCGGGTTGTGGATGCAAATTGTTATCGTGCACGACGGGTCCTTGCGCTTGTAACATCTGCTTCAATTCAGCCATACGTTCTTCTACGCATACTGCTGTCAATCTGTGTAGGAAGAATAATAAGTACATTTTTTAATTGTAAATCGATTCTCCGTCCACTTCAAACAGGGATTGAAATTACGACGGCTTGAGGCGAGGTTTGAATCCCTAGCGGTACCCTCTAGCGCGGACTAAAGTCGTATCCGTCAAACTGGTGTGTCCTTCAGTCGCATCATAAGTCCTTCCGCGAGTTTGAAGTGCCATTTGCACTCGCCCCCTATTGTCCGGTGAAGCTGTAAAGGCCTGCTGCGGCCAACAGCAGTAGAGTAGTTCGAAAAAAAAGGTCGACCTGAGCTTCGACTCGGCTAGGGTCGATTGGATGACCTATGACCTATCTAAATGACATTCATCATTATATTAATAGGAAAATGGATACGGTATAGATTATTGTTGCTTGTGTGTAGGAAACTAGACTCTGTGCTATGGACATAAAGTATATAATATTAATAAGTTATAAGGTACCTGGCCTCCGCGTCATGATCCCAGCACTCATCACAAGTGTCGGTGGCGATCTTCAGAGCTCGAGCTTCGGGTACCGGTCCGCGCGGTAGTGGTGGACGTGCCTTGTTACGGGAAACTAGGCTCTAATACAAAGAAATAAAAATCTAATTAGTATTGTAATTCTAATATGTCAGCAGCACAACTTATTTAATAAAAAGGCAACACTAGTCTAGTGGAAGTTTTTTGCCAATAACATGGTGAATAGTATTTAATTCGCCTATCATATATCCTGTCTCTCAACATGGCAGCTTCAGTGTCAGTCGGGGCTCTACCTGCAGCTGGTGCAGGGCGGTGTGTACCTGCAGCTGGTGCAGGGTGGGCGCGGGGGGCAGGCCGAGCGTGTCGTAGGGCGCGCGGTGTGTACCTGCAGCTGGTGCAGGGTGGGCGCGGGGGGCAGGCCGAGCGTGTCGTAGGGCGCGCGGTGTGTACCTGCAGCTGGTGCAGGGTGGGCGCGGGGGGCAGGCCGAGCGTGTCGTAGGGCGCGCGGTGTGTACCTGCAGCTGGTGCAGGGTGGGCGCGGGGGGCAGGCCGAGCGTGTCGTAGGGCGCGCGGTGTGTACCTGCAGCTGGTGCAGGGTGGGCGCGGGGGGCAGGCCGAGCGTGTCGTAGGGCGCGCGGTGTGTACCTGCAGCTGGTGCAGGGTGGGCGCGGGGGCAGGCCGAGCGTGTCGTAGGGCGCGCGGTGTGTACCTGCAGCTGGTGCAGGGTGGGCGCGGGGGGCAGGCCGAGCGTGTCGTAGGGCGCGCGGTGTGTACCTGCAGCTGGTGCAGGGTGGGCGCGGGGGCAGGCCGAGCGTGTCGTAGGGCGCGCGGTGTGTACCTGCAGCTGGTGCAGGGTGGGCGCGGGGGGCAGGCCGAGCGTGTCGTAGGGCGCGCGGTGTGTACCTGCAGCTGGTGCAGGGTGGGCGCGGGGGCAGGCCGAGCGTGTCGTAGGGCGCGCGGTGTGTACCTGCAGCTGGTGCAGGGTGGGCGCGGGGGGCAGGCCGAGCGTGTCGTAGGGCGCGCGGTGTGTACCTGCAGCTGGTGCAGGGTGGGCGCGGGGGGCAGGCCGAGCGTGTCGTAGGGCGCGCGGTGTGTACCTGCAGCTGGTGCAGGGTGGGCGCGGGGGCAGGCCGAGCGTGTCGTAGGGCGCGCGGTGTGTACCTGCAGCTGGTGCAGGGTGGGCGCGGGGGCAGGCCGAGCGTGTCGTAGGGCGCGCGGTGTGTACCTGCAGCTGGTGCAGGGTGGGCGCGGGGGGCAGGCCGAGCGTGTCGTAGGGCGCGCGGTGTGTACCTGCAGCTGGTGCAGGGTGGGCGCGGGGGGCAGGCCGAGCGTGTCGTAGGGCGCGCGGTGTGTACCTGCAGCTGGTGCAGGGTGGGCGCGGGGGCAGGCCGAGCGTGTCGTAGGGCGCGCGGTGTGTACCTGCAGCTGGTGCAGGGTGGGCGCGGGGGGCAGGCCGAGCGTGTCGTAGGGCGCGCGGTGTGTACCTGCAGCTGGTGCAGGGTGGGCGCGGGGGGCAGGCCGAGCGTGTCGTAGGGCGCGCGGTGTGTACCTGCAGCTGGTGCAGGGTGGGCGCGGGGGCAGGCCGAGCGTGTCGTAGGGCGCGCGGTGTGTACCTGCAGCTGGTGCAGGGTGGGCGCGGGGGCAGGCCGAGCGTGTCGTAGGGCGCGCGGTGTGTACCCGCAGCTGGTGCAGGGTGGGCGCGGGGGGCAGGCCGAGCGTGTCGTAGGGCGCGCGGTGTGTACCTGCAGCTGGTGCAGGGTGGGCGCGGGGGGCAGGCCGAGCGTGTCGTAGGGCGCGCGGTGTGTACCTGCAGCTGGTGCAGGGTGGGCGCGGGGGGCAGGCCGAGCGTGTCGTAGGGCGCGCGGTGTGTACCTGCAGCTGGTGCAGGGTGGGCGCGGGGGGCAGGCCGAGCGTGTCGTAGGGCGCGCGGTGTGTACCTGCAGCTGGTGCAGGGTGGGCGCGGGGGGCAGGCCGAGCGTGTCGTAGGGCGCGCGGTGTGTACCTGCAGCTGGTGCAGGGTGGGCGCGGGGGGCAGGCCGAGCGTGTCGTAGGGCGCGCGGTGTGTACCTGCAGCTGGTGCAGGGTGGGCGCGGGGGGCAGGCCGAGCGTGTCGTAGGGCGCGCGGTAGGGCGGCGGAGGCCCGCGGTGCGCGCCCGAGCAGCGCCACACCATCTCCCACAGCACGAGCGCGAGCGCGAACACGTCCACCGCGCACAGTGCGGCTCGCGCGCCGCACAGGTCCAGCGCGCCCTCCAGCGCCTCCGGGGACAGGTAGCGCAGCGTGCCCGCCTGTCGGTCACGATGGTACACGTCCTCAGTTACGAGAGTCATTTTCATAGAATTGGTCCTTCGAGGAGGATAATTACGTTCTAATGGGTTGAAAAATTATTAATTTTGTTATACTCACCTCGGTTATTCGACTAGGGGTCGCACGATCTCTTCTTGGATGTAATACTTGAGCCAGCCCCAGGTCTGCCAGTCGTGCTTGACCATCAAAGGAGACCAGGACGTTATTGCTGTTCACGTCACGATGAACAATGCAAGGTTTCGTTGAAGCTAAAATTAGAAACAATAACATTATTATATTTTTTTAAAAAAAAAAATCTTGTGGCATTATCGTCGGCGTTAATGAATTAACAAATTCCTTTGATGAAGTTTTTTTTACATTCATTAATAACTAGCTACTCGCCCCGGCTTTGCCGGGGTGTACATGTATTATACATACAAACCTTCCTCTTGAATCACTATCTATTAAAAAAACCGCTTCAAAATCCGTTGCGTAGTTTTAAAGATTTAAGCATACATAGGGATAGACAGCGACAGCAACTTTGTTTTATACTAAGTACTGAAAATTTCTTTCATAACATCACATCCTATGTGTCATTGACAGATTGACTGGTTTAGTATCTAATTTCTAATTTCTTTTATACACTGGTCATGTTTTGCTCCAGGATTTATGAAGTAAAAACTCAAAGTGTGAAGGATGAAATATAGAAACAGCTCCAGAAGCTCCAGCAGCGGCACTAGAGGGAGTACTGTACTGTACTGTACAGTACAGTACAGTACGGTACTGACTGGGCGTGTGCAGGTGCGCGAGCGCGGCGGCGAGCCCGTGCGCGAGCGTGGCCAGCTCCGGCCACGAGAGCGGCGCGCGCTGCAGGCGGCCGCGCAGCGAGCCCGCGCACAGCTCCAGCAGCGGCACTAGAGGGAGTACTGTACTGTACTGTACTGTACAGTACAGTACGGTACTGACTGGGCGTGTGCAGGTGCGCGAGCGCGGCGGCGAGCCCGTGCGCGAGCGTGGCCAGCTCCGGCCACGAGAGCGGCGCGCGCTGCAGGCGGCCGCGCAGCGAGCCCGCGCACAGCTCCAGCAGCGGCACTAGAGGGAGTACTGTACTGTACTGTACAGTACAGTACAGTACGGTACTGACTGGGCGTGTGCAGGTGCGCGAGCGCGGCGGCGAGCCCGTGCGCGAGCGTGGCCAGCTCCGGCCACGAGAGCGGCGCGCGCTGCAGGCGGCCGCGCAGCGAGCCCGCGCACAGCTCCAGCAGCGGCACTAGAGGGAGTACTGTACTGTACTGTACTGTACAGTACAGTACGGTACTGACTGGGCGTGTGCAGGTGCGCGAGCGCGGCGGCGAGCCCGTGCGCGAGCGTGGCCAGCTCCGGCCACGAGAGCGGCGCGCGCTGCAGGCGGCCGCGCAGCGAGCCCGCGCACAGCTCCAGCAGCGGCACTAGAGGGAGTACTGTACTGTACTGTACAGTACAGTACAGTACGGTACTGACTGGGCGTGTGCAGGTGCGCGAGCGCGGCGGCGAGCCCGTGCGCGAGCGTGGCCAGGCTCCGGCCACGAGAGCGGCGCGCGCTGCAGGCGGCCGCGCAGCGAGCCCGCGCACAGCTCCAGCAGCGGCACTAGAGGGAGTACTGTACTGTACTGTACTGTACAGTACAGTACGGTACTGACTGGGCGTGTGCAGGTGCGCGAGCGCGGCGGCGAGCCCGTGCGCGAGCGTGGCCAGCTCCGGCCACGAGAGCGGCGCGCGCTGCAGGCGGCCGCGCAGCGAGCCCGCGCACAGCTCCAGCAGCGGCACTAGAGGGAGTACTGTACTGTACTGTACTGTACAGTACAGTACGGTACTGACTGGGCGTGTGCAGGTGCGCGAGCGCGGCGGCGAGCCCGTGCGCGAGCGTGGCCAGCTCCGGCCACGAGAGCGGCGCGCGCTGCAGGCGGCCGCGCAGCGAGCCCGCGCACAGCTCCAGCAGCGGCACTAGAGGGAGTACTGTACTGTACTGTACAGTACAGTACAGTACGGTACTGACTGGGCGTGTGCAGGTGCGCGAGCGCGGCGGCGAGCCCGTGCGCGAGCGTGGCCAGCTCCGGCCACGAGAGCGGCGCGCGCTGCAGGCGGCCGCGCAGCGAGCCCGCGCACAGCTCCAGCAGCGGCACTAGAGGGAGTACTGTACTGTACTGTACTGTACAGTACAGTACGGTACTGACTGGGCGTGTGCAGGTGCGCGAGCGCGGCGGCGAGCCCGTGCGCGAGCGTGGCCAGCTCCGGCCACGAGAGCGGCGCGCGCTGCAGGCGGCCGCGCAGCGAGCCCGCGCACAGCTCCAGCAGCGGCACTAGAGGGAGTACTGTACTGTACTGTACTGTACAGTACAGTACGGTACTGACTGGGCGTGTGCAGGTGCGCGAGCGCGGCGGCGAGCCCGTGCGCGAGCGTGGCCAGCTCCGGCCACGAGAGCGGCGCGCGCTGCAGGCGGCCGCGCAGCGAGCCCGCGCACAGCTCCAGCAGCGGCACTAGAGGGAGTACTGTACTGTACTGTACTGTACAGTACAGTACAGTACGGTACTGACTGGGCGTGTGCAGGTGCGCGAGCGCGGCGGCGAGCCCGTGCGCGAGCGTGGCCAGCTCCGGCCACGAGAGCGGCGCGCGCTGCAGGCGGCCGCGCAGCGAGCCCGCGCACAGCTCCAGCAGCGGCACTAGAGGGAGTACTGTACTGTACTGTACTGTACAGTACAGTACGGTACTGACTGGGCGTGTGCAGGTGCGCGAGCGCGGCGGCGAGCCCGTGCGCGAGCGTGGCCAGCTCCGGCCACGAGAGCGGCGCGCGCTGCAGGCGGCCGCGCAGCGAGCCCGCGCACAGCTCCAGCAGCGGCACTAGAGGGAGTACTGTACTGTACTGTACTGTACAGTACAGTACGGTACTGACTGGGCGTGTGCAGGTGCGCGAGCGCGGCGGCGAGCCCGTGCGCGAGCGTGGCCAGCTCCGGCCACGAGAGCGGCGCGCGCTGCAGGCGGCCGCGCAGCGAGCCCGCGCACAGCTCCAGCACCACGAGCCGCGACCGCGTGCTGCGGCTCTCGCTGCCTGCGGACGCACGCATACATTCAGTACGAGGGCATTTTCGTTCTTGTACAAAGTCGTGTCTACGAAATTCTGACGGACAATATTCTATTCTGTACGAGCTGAGAGATGACATATATGAGTTTCTTGTTCTTCGTTCGCATGACGTTTTAAGATTATATACACCTTACATACGATTTTTAATTTTTCTGTTCTACGACTGATTGCAAACATCTAATAGTAAACGGTTACCGTAGCCTATGGATGTCTGAAACACAAACGTCACGTGCGCATTGCCGACCCTTAAGAAAGTTCAATATTTTCTTGTACATTCCGACAGTTCACTCTCACATGTAATATACATCATCTCAGTCGACTACATCGTATTATTACTCCGCAACACCCAGTATCCCTTTCAATTAGTTTCACCGCATGTATACTTTCTATGACGTTTAACAGATTGGATTCCATGTTACCAATTTCCGCCAGAATATTACGAATTTATGACGTAAATGGAAAATAAGTCATAATTAAAGTGTATATGGGTTTGTTTCCAATGTTCTGTAAAACTATTAAATAGTTTGAGACTTAGAAGCGAGTTCTTGTTGTCGAGCATTTTAACCAAACTGAATCACTGTCCAATCCATACATCACAACGGTAAGGAAATATTTTTAAAAGTATCAATGACATAAGATAGTATATCTTCCTTCAACTAGTTTAATAATTTATAATAGTATAATATGTATGTATTTACGAAAAAAATATCTATGTATTTGTATCAGTTGTCTACTATCCATAACACAAGCTTTGGCTAGCTTAATTTTGGCCCCGCCTGAGATTATTATTATTTTTGCCTTTTCTTTCTTTTCTTTTATAAATTTAAAAGAAGGTAGTACTCACCCACACGGGCCTTAGCCAAGTGTGGGAGAGGTTGCGCTGTTTGAAGATAATATTGAAAAAGTCAAGAATTTTCCAGTTATTCGACAGGCATTCAATATTGTAGCATTTTGTAAGAGATGTTTTACTAGGGTGAATATTTAATGTTTGCAGACTATTTTATTATTACTATTGTTATATTGATAAATAGTAATAGACAACCATATGCTTTACAAAAAAATATCGGCCTCACTAAAACCTGAATAAAGTCTTCGTGGGGCCGATATTTTTTTGTGTAACTAGACTAGCAAACAAGCCAGCGGTTTTTCTGGTGGTTAAGTAACAATCGTCATCCATATAAATGGACAAAAATAAATATTCATGCGAAGCCAGTTATTAACGTAATTTTTGTTAACCGCATTTTATTCTTGGTGCGTTTAGTAGTTTGAGCGCAAAAAATATTGACCATAAATAACAGCAAATTAACTTTATAATATAAGGCTCAACTAGAAACTTCAAATTCTTAATTCTAGGACACCTGACTGGACTATTTCAATGGACACGGTATGAAAAACATTATAAAGTCCCAGAGGATGTAGGTGTTTCCAGGATTCATCTAGACCACATCAGGTATCTAAATATATATAACTCAAAGGTGACTGACATAGTGATCTATCAACGCACAGCCCAAACCACTGGACAGATCGGACTGAAATTTGGCATGCAAGTAGATGTTATGATGTAGGCATCCGTTAAGAAAGGATTTTGATTAATTCCACCCCCAAGGGGATAAAATAGGGGATGAAAGTTTGTATGAAACTTTGTCAATTTTAAACCAATCGGGCTCTTTGCATGCATAAAGCTACTATGATGGAGGCATCCCCTAAGAAAGGATTTTGATAAATTCCTCCCCTAAAGGGATAAATTAACGCGAGCGCAGACGCGGGCAAAAGCTAGTATTCCTATATTTCAAAAACAAATACTACACTAAACTAAAAAGACAGGTTTTTATCCTTTTTTCTTTGTCGCTGATGTATAACTAACTGTTCATAACAGCATTTTATCCGTAGCTAACGATATATTTGGTTAAATAACGGTAGCTAACGGGTTTCTAACAATTATAAACATGATATATTACATAACATGTGACACTCTCAGTACCCTTACAGACTACTACTCAGACTACTCAGACAGTTTTGTGCAAAGTTTTAAGGTTAATACTACAATCTTAATGTTTATAACAAGACAGTGAACTTACCGTAGTACCGAAGTATGTTAGAGTGAGCGAGATGAGGTAATGCGTATATAGCCGCCTCTTTCTGCCAGGCATTGGCATTAGAGTACAGTTTCACGGCCACAGGTGAGGAACCGAGGGTGCCTCGCCACACAGAGCCGAATTTTCCTTGTCCTAAAACGTAAACGTTACGATTCAAGAGGAAGGTTTATATGTAGAATCCATGCGAGTTATAGTATATGAGAACAAGCCGAGAATTCAAAGATTTGTAATGCATCCATGCAAAGCAAGGACAGACCCCTAGTTATATAATAAAGAAAGTATATTTTTTATTGGCATTTTTGGGCTATTGTCAGGTGCATGGACCTGTAGAACTGCGACCTACATACATCTATCGCTCGCTCTTCGCCTCGTCCCCAAAGCTCGCTACCTAGACCCGTCAGGGAAAATAATTGAAGGATATTCTTAAGAGACATGGTTTTTATCTCCTCCGAAAATAGTGTAAACTTTGCAAAGGAGATATTAGAGGAGAGATAAAGAAAGTAACATACCAATATGTTCAACGAGTGTCAGGTTGTCCACACAAAGCAATCCCGTTGCTAAAGCGTCCGGACCGGTACCCATCACATCTCCTAAAAAATTAATAGAAATAGAAATAATCTTCATTAAAATAAATTTACTACCACTCATTCGGAACGTAGACTCGGGCTGTACATATAGTAACTCTTAGTACTAATTTACAAACCTATATTCATAATAATAAAAATGTGAATTTAAAATATAATTTTTTTAAAGATGTCTCGATTTTATATATAAATTTTAATGCAATAAAAAAACAAACAAAAGAGCAGAATAACGAATTTACTTGAAATATTTAATGAGAAATTACCTACTAATTACCCACCATTTTATTACAATTAATTTTATAACAATATATGATTAATGTTCAAAAATGCTTGTGGGGCCGCATAAACATATTTAACGGCCCGCGTGTTGCTCATCCCTGATTTAACACGTTACAGAGCGCACCGATGTCCACTTCGCGAAAGTAAATTTACACGTTGGGACCAGGTGATCACCCGTGGGTGTCACCACGAGTAAATAAATAAATAATAATTAATAAAATTAAAATAAATCTAGGGTTAAATAATGTCTACTTCAAATTATTGTACACTAAACTTATTAAAAAAATAATATACGTAACTAATAATAAAAAAAATTATGGTCCCTATGCGAGAAATAAGATCTTTCAATGTGATCTTCAACGTGTTAAATAAATGTTGTTGAAAAGCGCTTTGTTCAACGGCTAAATTACCGACGCCAATGAAGATATTGTTGCTTGTTATTTGATATGAATGTAGCGTGGCATACCTTTCTCTACATCCGTTCCCTCACTCATCTCGTGTTTCTCAAGTTGTACCCTTCTACAGCACTTGTTGATGACCACTCCTATTACAAGTATAGCACCGAGTCCTAATATTCCGGAGGCAGCCACATTGGAATAGTTCGGATGTTGTGCTGTATCCATCGTCGACTCAGCTTTCATTGTTACAGTTTCTTCTTTTAGTGATACTGTAATATTTATTTCCCTTTTAGTCGATTAAATTTCAAATTACGTTAAATTATACTAAGATTTATATATACATATATTTTTATTGAAGATAATTAAAAAAAATTTTTTTTATAAATCGTAATGGGAGAATGTGTTTCTTAGTAATTAATTCAAATATCATTTATTAATGTAGGACATTTTAGCCGCTTATGAACGTCAAATTTTTTATATTATATTTTTTTCCCTACCATCCAGTTCAGTATTATCTATTAGTAATAAGCCCAATTTACCATGTCAGGTTCACCTCCACATCATTATGGTTTCCAGGAAAACTATAATGGTGATAGGATGAGCAGAAGAAGAAGAGAGGAATTGACCAGAATTTATCTGGTCAATTTTCCACAATGGGTCACCTGACCGGACCTTATGCTCATCTTATTATTCTCCACTAGTGCCCTGCATAAACGTCAGGACAGACAGGCACCATTCCATTATAATCCATTGAGAAAAATTTCTATCTGTCCAAAACTCGAATATACCAAAATCGGACACTATTTTAACTAAAATTCTGTGACACTTACAGAAATCGGCATTACAGAAGCTCCTGGTGCAACAGCAGAACTTGGAGCCGGGCATGAGACCGGTGACAGCTGTACACTTGTCACACGAGTTCTTGCCTTGCATCTGTGAGGAGTGCCAGCAGCCTGGATAGAAAAAAAAAGACGACTAGATCAACAAACAAATAAATAATGTAGATAGATGGTAGATGAATTAGTGCTAGTTGATTGTTTGTATTCACACACTTCAACTTAAACATGTAAAATAACAATAAAATTATTTAAAAGAGTAACACAAGTTTCTTTCTCCTTCTTCTTGTGAAGAAGATGAGACAGTGTATATTAAGGTTTTTAAAAGGGAGATAAACCATTACATTGGTCAGTTAACAAAATCTATACTACTTATAATGCTGTAGAGTTTGTTTGTTTAAACGAGCTTTTATTAGTGCTAGGTTGAATTTAAAAAATCTTTTTGTGTTGGATAGTTCATTTATCAACGAAGGCTTTAAGATATATAACATTATACTACGGCCAATAAAAGCGAAGCCTCAGTGAAAAATGTTGCAAAAACGGGGAAAAGTATTCATATTTGGGCGCTTCCGTTTGCGCGAAGTCGCGGGCACAGCTAGTACAATATAGGTACAAAAAATCTGTGAGTAACGTAGTGTGTTTGTGCATCGCCCATACACAAAAAAACAGCCCCTCAGTGTACTCTTTGCTACAGGCAGCAAACCACTGATTTTCAGGTATTGCCCAAGAACATACGCGAGGACGTATGTACCAAGACCGCGGCATCTAACCAGCCCTATTACTGTACACTATTATTAATAGTAATAACAATAAAAATGTACATTCCAATATACTTTGTACTAGGTGGAAGGGGATTGTTGGAATGTGGACTAATAACACCATTGCTAGCAATGTACAATGTCAGGTTGATTTTCCATGCAGTTCTCCTGGAAACTATCATGGTGATCAACATCATACTCATACCAAAGTTTATCTGTTCTATATCTTCTTAAGTCTGTTCTATACGTCGCAACTTCTATATCTTCTTTATCTTTAATGGCTGCCATCAATTTTGATCAGTGATTTTGCCAAGCGCATGGTTTAAGAGACAGTGTAATATTGTAGCTGTGGCTTAATTTCTATATTACTGGTACAACTTTCATACTGCCTCATATACATTATGTTATTGTACTTGCCGTTAAATCACATAAAAGAAATAGGCAGTTTAATATGCTCACCTGGGGGAAGAGGATTGGGGGTAATAGGGTCTAGTGTCCTCTGTAATGTACCATACCATTTGAACTCCATGTGTTTCCCCCTGGAAACCATTGTGGTTAAATCTTTATTTAATCACAATGGGCAAACTAACCTGACCTCAGCCTCATTTTATCATCCTACACTGGCCCCCACCAGCGGAAACCGTTAGCGCAGGCGGGAGCAATATTCCATTATCATCCTTAAAAATACACTCACCCTGGCCTAGTATAGTGATGTTCCCTTCTTGGCCCCTGTACCACAGAGTGTAGCATGATGGTCGTGGATGCATACACTGCTCCACTTGTACTGTGTCCCCATTAGGTAGTGTAGTTTCTGATATTGGTCCGTTCACTGTTAAAAAAAAAAAAAAACTTTGTACACATCTTCCATAGAAATCCACAAACAAGCAAAATATAAAGTCTTATTAATATTATAAATGTGAAAGTTTGTTACTCTTTCATGCAAAATAGTGACTGAACAGATTTTGATGAAACTACAGTAATATAGCTTATACACATAGGCTAAATTATGAAGTGACGAGTGAAGCCGCGGGCACAGAGAAAAATATATTTTGAAACATTCCCATAAACTGCGCTATCAAATGGTACTAAATGTTTACATAGTATATGAAGTCGCTCCCACAGTCTGTTAGGTTAGTTATTTTAGATTACCCAACAGATCTTATTGCTATTTTTAGCAATAGATAAGTGAGAGACTTATGAGACAAGTGGGAGATTTATATTTATCCAGAAGACTTATATTTATACACCTGTTTGAAGCCAGGGCAGGTAGCTAGTAATATAATATCTCAGGACAATTCAGGTTCATATCAGTTTGCGAACACTGATTACATTTTATGATTTTTTTTATATAGCATATGCTGGTGGTCACTCTTTTCTCTCAAATTTGAATTTAAATGAAATAGTATTATTCTAAATATGTACAACATTAAAAAAAAATATGAGCTGAGTGACTGACAAGAAGTCAGTTCTTCTCATCTCATAATCATTCCGAAATGATGGTAGATTTGACATATCATAAGAGTGTGTAATAGACCTACAGGAATAAAGATATTTTGAATTTGAATTCACACATCATACATTTAGTCTCAAGCTAAGAGTTTGTGATATAATATGTATTAGACGGCATGAAAAATAAATGAGGATGTGTACATAAGAGACAGTTATAGCATTGGAATAAAAATAATCATCTCAAGCAATAGAATATTAAAAAAAATTAATAGGCATATTAGTACAATATGCACACATAGACAAAAACGATGTAACACCTACACCACATCTGTTCATAGTCTCCGACTGATTGCAGGATAGACTCAGAAAAAAAAAAAAACATAGACAAAAAAATAATGCTAACAAAATGAATAACTATTTTAAAATCAGAATAAAAGCTTATTATTATTATTATACTTACTATAACTATCATTTTCAACCATGGGCTGAGCATTTCTTTCATCAATGTAAGATGGAGTGACACTTTTAGAAATACTGCGGATTTTGAACAAACAAGATATAGATGGGCCTATGGTCACTGGAGGGTCAGGAATCACAATGGCCGCTTTCACTTTTGTCCTTTTCACTTCATTTGGTAAAACATTCCTTTTACTATGTTCATCTTTACTAGTTCCAATAGCAGTTTTATCAAAAGACCCAACAAGTTCCAGTGTATTAGAAGGGAATTTATTTGAATTTATTACAGCAGCAGAATCACTTATAAACTCATTAGATTTCAATTCCGTACTCCTTTTTCTTACTACTGAATCTGGCCATTCTATCTCTGAATCACTTACAATATTTGAATTTGGAATATCCACACTTCTTTTTCTTATATTTTTTTCTTGGTGTTCAAATGGCCAAGGACCTATCTTTGAAGTTTCATCAATGAATATTTTTTTTTGTGGCCAGTAGTGACTAATGAAATCACTTGAATTTGGAATGTCTAAACTTCTCTTTCCAACAGTTTTAGAATGGTCCTGTGTTGGCCAGTAATTTAAGTCATTATTATTATTCCATTGTATAGTTCTTCTGTGATGGTATTTTGTGAATGTTCGAACATAATGAGATGGTTTTAATTGGTGAATACTGTTTCTAGTGTCTTGGGATTCTTGAGGCCGCGTAGTAAGCACTTTTGCGGTAAATATAAAAAGAAATAGTACAATACATTTTAATATAGGCGTCATTCGTTGAGATAAAATGTCCTCCATAATATTACGCTATCATTCTACATTCAAACGAATGTTTACTGCAATAGGTGAAAAAACCTAGCAACAGATTGCGGAGCACTATCGATTTTTCATTTCACTACCTACATCTTACTGGCGACCACGTCGTGGTTAACTTTTTAAAGTCCGGCGACTTGTAAAACAGTTATTTTATTAATTAAAAGATCTTTTCACACTATTTAGCCAATTTAATAAACTTTAACAGTGAATATTTCGGTAAAAGCTACGATGCAAACGAAATTAAATAAATATTACTAAAACAAAAAGGATCTCAATTACTATTCATAAAGTGAAAATAGTAGTTATTAACTAAGGGTAAAACAAGTAGTATTTATATTTGTAAATTCAGTAATAGGAAAATCGATACAATGTTGACAAACACATATGAATACACATTTCGGACATTTTGGATTAGACCATAGAGTACACATTTTAGAAAATTTCCACAGATATGAAATGTAATGTCGAAAAAAAAGCGCGGGAAACGTTCGAAACGCCGGGAGTGTTTTTTGGATTTCTTTTTGTTTAATTTAATTTTACTATATATAAGGATTAGTTTTATTTATATATTGTAGACTAGATTAATTGTTTAATTATATATTTATTAATAGTAGTAGCAGTTGCTGCAAATATTGGTAAGTAACTTTAATATATAATATCTATTGAGAATGGACCCGCCTATAGACCCTGGGGGAACAGTCCCCCAGGTGTCTGCAAATATAAGTATTCCATTTAACAATTCTTTTGATATTTTATGTGAATCTAGTATGGATACTGATGGGTCTAATATTACAACCACAAAACGTAAGCGAGTAAGGGGCGAACGCCGCATTTGCAAACACTGCAATAAAAAGCGTAGGAGACATCAAAAAGGTACCGAGACAAAATTAAAAGACAGTGACTGTCAATGTGTCGAAGAGGAAAAAAATAATTTAGATATAATACCTGTAATTGACAATCAAAATTCAGATGTAATACCAGTAGTTGAAAATAATAATACATCCAAAAAAGCCACTCCTTCACCCACTTCTGTAAATAGGACTTTGTACAATACTGAAGATGTAGCACCTTTTGTAGTTCATGTTAAAAAAAATGAAACAAATCCTACAGATAATGTAACATTACACCCCATCGCATTTGGTCGGTTTTTACATACAAATAAGATTTATAATGTTGTGAATGGCAGCCTCAAAAGAATAGGAAGAAACAGATTGGCTCTTGCTTTTTCAAACTTTTTAGATGCTAACTCTTTTTTAAACCACAGTAGTTTAATTGCCTATAATTATAATGCATTTATTCCTTCTTTTAATGTGACCCGCATGGGTATTGTAAGAGGTATTCCTAAAGACTGGACAGATGATGAAGTAATTAGCAATATTTCAGTACCTATAGGTTGTGGAAAAATTTTAAAAATACGTAGAATAAAAAAAAAGACTATAAATGAGGGAGAAACGAACTTTATTAACACTGAAACAGTCGTTATAACATTTGATGGGCAAATTTTGCCAAAAAGAGTATTTATGTTTTATACATCATTAACTGTAGATCTATACATTTATCCAACCATACAGTGCTACAATTGTTGTAGATTTGGACATGTTAAGATGCAGTGTCGTTCAAATCCAAGGTGTTATAAGTGCAAACAAAGTCATACTGGTGATAAATGTGAAGCAGATGAAGACAGAATATGCTGTATTCTATGTAATGGTTCTCATTTCGCTATTAGTAAGAAGTGTCCTGAATATTCCCGCCAAAAAGCTATTAAAGAAACCATGGCTCACAGCTGTGTTTCATATGCTGAAGCTATGAAATTTCATCCTCCAACCAGTAAATTATACTCAGATGTATTAACATCGCCACCACCTTCATCTATTAAACCACATATCCAATCTTCTCCACAAAAAGACAAATCAGGCCATATTCAATCTTCTTATAAAAAAACTGTTACACTTAAACCACGTTCTCCACAGAAACCACAACGAGGATATGATCGTTCTGCTCATGAGGCCTTAATTAATGAATATAACATTCCTGCGCCCTCAAATGGCTGTGCACTAAGTAATAATAATAATACTAATAATCAATCTGTTGCTGATATTATATTTATGTTAATTAAATTCTTGACGCAATCTAATATGACACAAACCAATTTTTCACCGTCCAACGCTGCCAACCTGAATGTTATATCTCAAATTTTATCAACTCACAATGGACAACAAAGCCCACATTATTCAGTGGAACTGTCGTAGCATAACAAATAAGAAATCTGATCTATTTTATTTGATAAACAATTTCTCCCCTTTCATTATAGCTCTTCAGGAGACATGGTTAAAACCTGGATATTCATTTAAGATTCCAGGTTACTCATGTTTTCGTGATGATAGAGCTGACGGATATGGCGGTGTTGCCATATTGGTCAAAAACTCCCTTTCATATTTATTATTTTCCCTTCCTTCATTTAATGGAATTAATGCTATTGCATTAATAGTAAATAGTATTTGTTTTGTTAGTTTATATATTCCTACCCCCTCTTCTCAATTATATTCAGAATTAGAAAAAATTATATCTATTTTACCTAAACCTTTTCTTATTATGGGTGATTTTAATGCCCAACATCAATCGTGGGGCAGTACCACCTCTAATTATTACGGTGAGAAAATTATAAGTATAATCGACAGTCATAACTTATGTATAGTTAACTCGGGTGTACCAACACGTAGAACTGGCCCAAATGAAGGTGTTAGCGTCCCTGATATTTCTCTGTGTTCTTCTGATTTAGCTTCTTCGTTTTCGTGGTCTCCTCACTACTCATCATTCGGAAGTGATCACTTTCCCCTTATTTTATCTTTACCTCATTCCATTCCTCCAAATCGGAAAACCGGTCCTCGTCTTAAATATAACTTAATGAATGCAGATTGGGTGACGTTTAAACAATATGTAGGCAATAGGATTTCAAAACTACCTTCTGTTTCTCACGGAAATGAGCACCAATGTTCGAATAGTTTAGTAATGGTTATGAAGGAAGTTGCTGATATGCTATTTACTATAAAAAATAGTGCTTCAGGAAAAATTCCATCCCCTCCTTGGTGGGATAAAGAATGTACAGACGTCATTAAACAGCGTAAAGAAGCTGAAAAGAATTATAACAAGTATATGACATCAGAAAACTATGAAATTTATTGTGAAATATCTCGTTCCACCCGGAAACTACTAAAAAAGAAGAAGTTGGAAGGTTGGAGAAAGTTTTGTTCCTCAATCTGTCCCGAAGTTAACCTCTCTGTCGTTTGGAATAATATTAAAAGATTTAGATCTGTATATACCGGACACACATCGCTTTCCATAATGGATTCAAAATTAGCAGACGAATTTTTAGACCGCCTTGCACCTAGTTACGTTCCAGAATATCATAATCAGCTTTCTCCACCAACCCAATTATCGAAACTCGATTCCCCTTTTAGTCTTATTGAATTTAAAGGGGTATTATCACATATTAAAGATTCTGCACCGGGAGAGGATGGTATACCGTACTCATTTTTTAAAAATTCTAATGATACAACACTAGATTACTTTTTAGATTTAATTAATTCAGTAATGATATCCGGTAAGATACCTCCGTCATGGAAATCACAAATTATTATACCTTTTCTGAAACCTAATAAACCACCTTCGGAGCCCTCTTCTTATCGCCCTATAGCACTTTCATCGGTATTACTGAAATTGGCTGAACACTTGGTGAAAAATCGTCTGGAGTGGTTTGTAGAAAGTAATAACTTACTTTCACCAAACCAGTTTGGATTTAGGAAGGGTAGAGGTACGTTAGATAACGTTAGTATTTTAACCTCAGATATTCACATAGCATTTTCGCAAAATGTGTCGATTTTATCAGCTTTCTTGGATATTAGTTCTGCCTATGACAACGTCCTAATTACAATTCTTAGAACTAAATTGATAGCCTTGAATATTCCATTTATGCTTGCTAATTTTATTATTAATATTTTGTCAGAGAGAACAATAAAATTGGATTTAGGTGATGATAACAAACTATCCAGATCAGTATGGAAAGGTCTGCCTCAGGGATCAGTACTTAGTCCAATTTTATTTAATATATATACATATGACCTTGAAACATCTCTTAGCAAATCCGTTAAAGTATTGCAATACGCGGATGACCTATTAATTTATTTAATAGATCATTCAATTCAATCTGCCTGTCAAAAATTGTCTGATAATCTTGACTTGTTGAAATTATGGTTAGACGCAAATGGTCTCGAACTTTCTGTATCGAAAAGTAGTGTAGTACTATTTACAAGAATGCGATCACCACCGCAAGTGAAGGTTTTCTATGATAGTTGTTACATCCCGGTTAAAACAGAGATTAAATTTTTAGGCATCGTCTTAGATAATAAATTAACTGGTTTATCCCACTGTAATTATATTTCTGCTAAATGCGAACGAAATCTAAATATTCTTAGATGTCTAGCAGGTGTATGGTGGGGAGCACATCCGTATTCTTTAAAACTAGCGTATAATGGCCTTATAAGGAGCGTCCTTGATTATGGAACTTTTTTGTTAGCGCCGGGAAGTTCTTTTGCCTTTAAGAAACTGGACCTAATACAATCCAAAGCTTTGAGAATTATATCCGGAGCAATGAAATCAAGCCCAATCAATGCTTTACAGGTTGAAATTGTAGATCCACCTCTAGATTTAAGAAGACAATATCTAGCTGATCGTTTTCATGTTCGCTGCTTACAGTTGTCTAACCATCCACTTATCTTAAAACTTCCACAAATACATCAGTATGTTACCTCATCTTCTTATTGGATACACAAAAAACCTCCATGTTTAATAAAAAGCTTTGAAAAATATAAAGGAATATCTGCACCAATGTTTACTTCCTCTTGTTCTCCAGTCTATAAATACTCATATGAATCTCTGAATTTATGCCCTAACATTTATTATGACATAGGAATTTACAAAAATGATACGGAACAGGCAGCTAAATTCAAATTTATAATAGACACACAATGGAATGGATGGCATTGCATTTTCACAGACGCCTCAAAATCAAATAATTGTAGTTGTGTAGGTGTTGGTGTATTTCACATGCAGTATAATATTGTTCAAAAAATTAAACTTCCACCAGAGTCATCAGTGTTTACTGGGGAATGTATGGGTATTTTAAAAGCAATAGAATATGTACATATAATGAAATTACAAAAAGCAATCATTTTTACTGACTCAATGTCTTCACTACAAGCGTTAGACAAATATCCTTTAAAATCGAAATCACTTCATTCTATTATTTACGATATACGAGAAAAACTTCAACTGTGTACATTAAAAGAATATTCCGTTTCTTTTGCTTGGCTACCGGGACATTCTGGTATTCCAGGAAATAATAGGGCAGACCAAATTGCGAAGGAAGCTGTGCTTTGTGGAGATATGTTTCCTTATAAAAACTATTACAATGACCTAGCGTGTCTTCCAAAGTTGTATCTTAATAAATCTTGGAAGGAATATTGGCAGAACAGTAGTAAAACGAAAGGAAACCTTTACTATCAGGTACAACCCGACATTCCTATAAAGCCCTGGTTTTGTGGGATAAAGCTCGGGAAGACCGCGACAACTATATTAACTCGTATGCGTCTTGGTCACGTGTGCACACCGTCTCACCTTTATAAACTTGGTATTGTAGAAAGTTCCTGTTGTAGCTGCGGTACTGAAGTGGCTGATCTAAATCACATTTTTTTCTCATGTCCGGATCTTGATCACTCCTCCTTGTTAAAACATCTCAGATTCATCCGTATCCCTTTCCCTACCTCTATTACAACTCTTCTTTTTTCCAATGATCCTATTATTTATAAAATTTTAGCTGAATTTATATATTTAAATAGTATTAAAATTTAATATAATGTGTTCCGTATTGTATGTATATTATTTGTAAATATCGTATCCTATATAATTTCCTAACCTAATCCTTATCCCTATGCTACAAAATTTTCGTTGCTAGATATAAATTAATGACGTTTCCCCGTTTTGTTTTTGGCGAAATACCCTAAAATCGGGGTGAATGCCATACCACAAGAGAAAAAAAAAAAAAAAAAAAAATGTAATGTCACAATTTGACTAGACTGGAGTGATCAGCAATAGATGTCATTAAACGTCAATCAGAATACAAGTCATTCCATTAATCAAATCTTAAGTCCGAACCAATTTCCCTAGTATTCCCTACCTACTTCTTGATCGTTCATATAATTTCAATAAAATCTTTATATTTCTTCCTGCTTGAACCCCTGTCTATCTTAATTAATAATCGCTATTATTTAATATATAGTATAATACACAAAATGACATCCGCATCTGCAACAGAAGAGATAGATGAAGCAAAAGAGCGGGCTCACTTCCGCGCGGTTGTAAACGCTTTTAAATATTACAAGTGAGTAAATCTATTATTAAATACGACATAAATACCTTCAGAAGAGTCCCTAGATCGTCCTACATTAAAAACATGTGGAGGTTTTATTCTAAAACTGGATAAAATCTTGCATAGCAACAGGTATTAGCTGTACATTGTTGACTGATTCAATTAACCTATTTAGATTTATCAATACTCTTTGTTTACGTCCTATACACGTGTAGTCATGTAGCTCTAATATCAAATGCGATTAGGTTGATTTTCCATGTGATATTTTTGCTTCATTTTATTTGATTTACTTGTTTTTCTCAGTACAAATGTTGTCATTAGCCTATATATAGGTAGTAAGTATATTAGATTGATGTATTAATTACGTAGGGTGTGTTCTGTATTGTTACAAATAACAAAGGAATTTGTGTAACCTTTAGTAATTATATTTATTCTGTTTACTGTATGTATATACAGAGAATATGTTATATATGCACATTTCAAATTAGAATGTACTAATGAATTAATTAATGGCCAACATATCTACATGAATAGTACCACAGTGATCTTGTCATCCTGTGATGCCTATGTAAAGCATCAGAAGTAACCCTCATGGGGTTGGAGGAGACACATACTTCTGTAAAAGAAAATTATGACATCTAGAACCCATCCCACTCTCATTGTTAATATCTTACGTTTTTTTGAGACTGATATGTAAATTGATATATTAAAACGACACTGGTCATCTGCACCCCCTTGGGGAGTGAAGGTTAAAGCTTTGGGGCAAACCCATTTATTCCGGCAACAAAGCTCTGGAGCCCAAAAACCCCCTCAACAACCCCCTAGCTGGGTGTGTCAAGTGTCTTGGGGCAGGAATTACCATACCATAACCATGCATGGGGACTAATTATTATTTACTAGCTGTGTCCGCAGTTTCATCCGTGTTAAATTTCTATAAAAAGTATAGCCTGATGCATAAGCTATGTTACTGTATAGTCTCATCAAAATTGTCCCATTTAGTAGTTTTTGCATGAAAGAGTAACAAACATCCATACTTTCACGTTTATAACATTAGTAAGGATTAAGATATTGAAAATAGAAAAATTTTACTATTGCAACATGAAGCAGTGATTGTGGATGTGAGGAGTAGGGGGGACTGAAATTGGTGTTTACGTAATTAATAGAGAGCAACTTATACTTGTTAATGTTTATATAGATTTATGTAAACATGACATAAATGAGTTAATTGTGATAATAATTACATGTTTACACATTTATCACGAATTGTATGATGCAATAGTTTCACAACTTTCAATTATATGTCTGAGCTTACATGCTTACAAAACTCCAATAATGAGAAGTAACTAGATTGTTTCATCATATAACTTAATGAACCATCTCAAGAGAGGGCTCATTAAGTTTAAGTTCTTCTTAATTTAAGACTAGCTTCTCAGTGGAGCTCTTACCATTTCCCATGCTTAACAATACAAGAAATAGTTCAAATATTTAAAAATATTGACATTCCCATCAATGTATATGCATGAAGTAGCAGTATTAGCTAAATCCAATTTAAATTTCTGCAGAAATCTGTCCTTTTGCCTCTTACCTCCTATTTTTCCTTCAATATTGATGTATGTAATTCATTATTATGTATTCATGGATGTAAAGGGTGGGGACACCCTAAGAAAAGATGGATGGATTGTGTGAAAGATGATATGAATAAAAGAAGAGTATGTTTATATATGATGACCGATAGAGAGCAGTGGAAGAGAATGACATACTGCGCCAACCACAAATAATGGGATAAAGGCAAGGCAATTTTTTTTTTTTTTAGGTAGGTAGGTATCTGCAATCAGTACTGGTACTATAAGCAGGTGAGTTGTTGGTAGTAGGCGTGGGAGGATCTCTATCCTTTGACAAGGTCCCCATGTTTCAGCTAGCTAGAAATCTTTCATCCAGCTCAAGGATATTTGATCTTTTCAATCTTTTTGCTGGGTTATTAGCTAGAAGTTTCTGAGCTAATTCGTTTGGGTGAATAGCAAGGCGGGCCTTATATTTGATACTTGATTTCCCAATTTCTTCCCTGACTGTGGCGATGCTGGCAAAGTGGTGAACCTCAGAGTTGGTGATGAACCATGGAGCTTTTAAGATGCACTTTAGGATGCAGTTTTGACATCTTTGGAGAATTTCGATATTCGAGTGACAGGCGCTTCCCCATAACTGAATGCCGTATGTCCAGATTGGTTTGAGTGCAACCTTGTATATAAGAAGTTTGTTCTCCATGGCCAGAGATGATCTCCTGCCAAGTAGGAACTCGAGATTTCTGAATTTTATATTTGTTTCATCTCGTTTTGCCTTTATGTGTTTCTTCCAGGTGAGTCGACGATCTAGATGAAGTCCAAGATACTTGACAGAGTCAACGTGTTGGAGAGGTTCGTGGCCCAGGGTGACAGCTGGACAGTTGCCTTGCCGCAGAGAGAAAGTTATCTGTAGTGACTTTGAGACACTAGGCTTGATTCTCCATACTTTAAGCCAACTGTCAATCTTGTCTAGGTGATTTTGTAGGATAGCGGAGGCGGCTTCTGGTTTGGTGTGACTGGCCAATATAGCGGTGTCGTCCGCGTAAGTGGCTGTGGTTACTTGACAATTTGTTGGCAGATCGGCGGTAAACAGTGTGTAAAGGTAAGGACCCAGTACTGATCCTTGGGGAACTCCTGCTGTTATGTCATAAAAGGTAGATCTAGCCTCTTCTTCTTTGACTTGGAAAATCCTGTCAGTAAGGTAGGATTGGAGTATTCCGAAGAATGCATGTGGAAGTAGGGTTTTTATTTTGCAGAGAAGTCCCTTATGCCACACTCTGTCAAACGCTTGCTGAATATCAAGGAACGCAGATGCACAATATTCTTTATGCTCCAGTGATGAGCGGATTTTATCGCAGACTCTATGTACCTGTTCTATGGTGGAGTGGCGCTGCCTGAAGCCAAACTGATGGTCCGGAATGGTCTTAAGGTCATCTAAGACAGGGATTAGTCTGCTCAGAAAAACCCTCTCCCAAACCTTCGACAGAACCGGAAGAAGACTTATTGGACGATATGATGGCGCAATATTAGCTGGTTTCCCTTGCTTGTGGATCATAACTATTTGAGAGACTTTCCAGTGATTAGGAAAGTAGGATATTCTGAGAGTGGCATTTATTAGAATCGTTAGAAAAACAATCGCTTTTCTAGGAAGTTCTTTAAGAATTCGTGAAGTAATGAGGTCGTAGCCAGGGGCAGATTTATCTTTGAGTTTTGATATTACTCGTCGAATTTCTCTGGGTGTAGCAAGTTTCAGAGGGGAATCTTGCTGAAGAGGTTGGCTCATTATTTGATCTATTACCGATTCATCAGATCCAGGAACTGCATCGTTAGGTGTAAACACTGTGTTTAGATGGACAGCGAACGTTTCTGCTTTCTCTTGGTTGGATCTAGCCCACTTGTTATCCAAGGTTTTAATGGGTGGCTTCGGTTGTCGGGGTCGATCGAGATGCTTTGCTGCTCTCCACAGAGAGTAATTCGATATTTTACAAGCCCTTAGAGATTCTATATGTTCTCTAATTTGGTCATTTTGCCAGCTTTTAATATGTTTGTGCAGTTCTGAGGCCACTTTATTGAAATTCGTTTTATCAGCTGGATGTCTGCTAGTATGCCAAACGCGCCGAAGTCTTCTTTTTTCTTCAATCAGAGACTTTAATGCAGACGTGGGTATGTTTACTGCTACATTTGGGTTCAGGATAGAAGGGGTACACCTCCATGCCGCTTCTTGAATGAGATGCGAAATGTGCTTCGTCGCATCCTCAACATCCTCTGGGGATTTGAGTGGAATTTGCAGCTCGATGTTCTCATTTAGAAAGTCTCTAAATGCGGCCCAATCGGTTTTGTGATTGGTTAGTGACTCATTCTGTTTAAGAAAGATTGATGTAGAGATTGACAATAACACTGCAGTATGATCCGATGTACCCTCTAGACATGACCTGACGTTCAGGTAATTTGTGCCAATGCCCTTTACCACAAAAAAGTCCAACAAGTCTGGAATTTTATTTGGGTCGGTTGGCCAATATGTCGGTTCGCCAGTAGAGACAGTCGAGAGATGTGATGAATCCAAGCACTTCTTTAGTTCTCTGCCTCTGGTAGTGATGAGTCTAGAGCCCCAGTAGGTATGCTTGGCATTCCAATCACCGCCCGATACAAAACGGCTCCCCAGTGTGTCAAGGTATGCCGAGAATTTATCCTCCGTAATTTTGTGTTTGGGTGGACAGTATACAGCTGAGATGGTAATGTTTCCCGTTTTATCCGTCACTGTTATTGATGTGGCTTGAAGGTAGTCGGATACAAAGGAAGGTTCTTGAAAGTGCTGTATTGATTTTTTTAAAATAATCGCTGTTCCTCCGTGGGCAGTCCCGTCTGGATGGTTGGTCGAGTAGATGATATATCCAGGAATATTAACTTGACTACGTTCTGTAAAATGTGTTTCGGATACAAGCAAGATATCCAATTTATGCAGATGTATTAGCAGTTCTACTTCGTGTTTGTTAGCAGATAGGCCATTAGTGTTCCAGGTAGCCAGGCGCAGTTCTATGAAGAGGACAATCGGTCGATTAGTTTAACTATAAGGTTCATCATTGAACTTATTTGTTGAAGGAGTGCGTCAATTTTTTCTGACTGTTTTATCAGTAGCTCTTCCATTGCATTAGGAGCAGATGACTGTTGAGGGTAAGTTCTTGCTAGAACATCCGCGTAAGTATTTCCACGATTTTTAGTTGTCTTTTCGCGGCTATGGTTGTCATTCTTTATATCATTAACAGCGGGTTCAGAAGTCTTCTTCAGTTCAGTGGTTGGATATCTGGACGAGTTTTTGTTGCCTCTTTTAAACTTTCTTTCGTGGATCTCTTTGTAGACCTGACATCCCTTGAAGTTTGCTGGGTGATTTCCTTGACAGAGAGCACAAGTAGCTGGAGTGTTACGATCCTTTTTAGGACAGTCGCTTGTTTTGTGTGAAAGGGCACACTTGACGCATCGGTAGGGTCTGGTGCAGTTGTTTTTTGTATGGCCATACTGCTGGCACCTATTACATTGTGGTATAGTGTTGCGTTTTTTTGGGTCTTCGATGATCACTGATGTATGGTAAATCGTTTTGATATCTTTAGCCTTCTTGTTGTTTGGGCTAGGTTCCAGGTTGACAAAGAATGTAGACGTTGGTAATTTTTCAGGACCGTAGCGGGCGTTGATAATTTCACCTACGACTTTGTTCCCAGTGGCAGCGATAGCATCTTCTATCGCAGCAAGAGGTGTTGTGTGATGTAGATTACGTATCACAATCCTGCAGCACTTGTCCTCTTTACGGGTGAAAGTATGTCCAATGAGGCCTTTTTCACGAACTAGGGACATGAGGTTTTTGTAAGCTTCTGTATCTTTGCAGTTTATTCTTAGTTGACTTTTTGCCATTAATTTGAATGTATAGTCATAAGGCTTCAAAACTGTTTCAACTGTGTCTTTCAGTTTAGTGACATCTTCTATCCCATATAATATTAGAGGTGGGGGCTTGTTAGGATTCTTTACCAGAGCAGTTGTTGCTGGGGTGTCTAGTGGAAGTACTGCAAATCTGTTGCTGGTTGAGGTTCCGATAACATCAGAGGTGGGAGACACAGAGGTTCGTGGTCTCTTGTTGTTCCTATTTACAGGCACTCTCTGCCATTCCTGTACGGATGGGTTTGATGACGAATCCTTCTGACGAGTGAGAGGGAGTGAGTCGCTATACGAGGAGCTCCTTGGTCTGTTCAGGAACATACTTTTGTGGAAAGCTTGTTGGACGAGCTTAGCTTTCGGTTTTTCCCCAGTAGCATTAACAGTCGCAGAAGCCTGGACAGCCACTTCTACGATGTCTTCGGTAGCAGATTTCACACTCGGAGGCCCGGGTACCTCTGAGCGCCGGGGGTTGGCCGAGCAAGGCAAGGCAATGATGATGAATGATGATGATTCATAATTTAATATAGTTTATATATTAACTGGAGACTATGTTTCCAGCATTATTCTGAGTTGTGCTCCGCATTGAGGCTGTTTTGTAATGTGTATTAATTATAAAAAATAACAAATTGCAAAAAAAATACTAACATTTTTTTTCTCATTATAGTTGTGTCAGGATGAGTCAATAGAAATAGAAATAATCTTTATTAAAATAAACTCAATACAAGCACTTTTGAACAATCTTGTAGAGTGACTACAAGCATATGCTATTGCAATTTTGTCAAAAGGAAATAGTCTAATCAATGGATGTAATCAGAACAGACTACTTCCCACAAGCAGCAACCATTCACGAGTATGACGGATGATATTGTGAATTACGTGTACAAAACCCTTTGTCTTTCTGCTTTCAGACTGTGCAGCTTAGACCGTATACATAAATCGGAAAAAATCATCTCAATGCTGCCATCAAACCACCAAAGACGACTGGAAAAGTACAAAACTTATTTGAGCAAATTCAAAAAGTGTCTGGACGTCAATAACAGCATCGTACACATGATAATAACGGACGTGGACACAATGTTTGAGAACGTCGACCACACTGCCAAGTCCACGAATGGCACTGAATGTTTTGGATTTGATTATAATAACTGTGAGATTGTATCCGAGAAACAACATAAGATGCATCATGATGTTGAAAAGGTAGGTTGGTTTTTTATTTAGCTAGAATGAGATGGGCGAATATTAGAAAACCCCTTTTGCTGTGGCTCCGCAATTCCAGAACACGTCCATTACCATCTCTAAGAGTATTGGGATTCTTGGTATCGACATCTCTAGCACAGTTGATTTCCATAGTTACCTCGAAGAAAAGGTCAAGCTGGCGTCCAAAAAACTCTGTGTGCTTAATATAGCGAAGCAGTACTTCACCAGAGACTCCACTTATATAAGTCTCAAGTTCGGCCGCACATGGAATACTGCTCTCACCATTACCATAAGTGCAACAGAGACGGATATACTTACACAGCTTGTACGTTATGACATCTGTGGTTGTAACAGTAGGTTATGTCATTTTCCAGGTGCAGTCTGTATTGAAGAATATAGTCAGGGATTGGAGTGACATGGGTGCAGCGGAAAGAGAGCAGTGCTACAAGCCTATACTTGACGAAATCGAGGAACGGTTTCCTCCTGAAGAATGCGGGTATGTTCATGTGCCTACACTTGTAATATTTCTGTCAACATTTTAGACCCTTCCATTAGTTTATCTCTTCAGATAATATAGGTTAAGTTCAGTGCAAAGCTAGTCTACGATCTTACTCCGCGTCACATGTACTCGTTATTTACACACACTATCCAACTTACTAATGTAAAATAAATAGTACAATTATATCACCGGTGGGTATTGTAATATGTGGGTAGTATAACCTACATATTACAATAAACAACACTACCCATATATTATGTAGCGACACCTCATCACATCATACATAAGTCTACAGTAGTGAGGTGATAAACACTGAGCTACATATATATTTATTATATTTGATTCAAAGTCGAAAACTGTCCGTTCGTCGAGTCTGTCTGTCTGTTCATACTTTACAGTGGAAGTATCTATTATATATAGGTTACAATTGTAATGACGACCTCGCTTTAAAGACTGCCTTACTTCCGATGGTCGCGACTTCGATCCTCGCTTGGTACAAACATTTGTATTCCTAATTATGCCTGTTTATATTGGTCTGCGTATTTTCTATGTACATATATTATGTATGTCTCTCACACGTCGATCACAAGTTAATGCCCGCATGACTTCAGCTGTGTGCGCTAGAGACAACATAATGCTTCCTTCTCTTTCAGACTGACTATGATATAAAATGTCAACAATTAATATTTCTCAAATTAAAATATTTTATGTGTCCATTTGTTACAGAGACCGCAGCCATGTCAAAGTGCTGGTACCTGGTGCAGGCTTGGGCAGGCTGGCGTGGGAAGTGGCCGCGCGAGGTTTCACCTGCCAGGGGAATGAGTTCTCACTCTTCATGTTGTTTGCCAGTAACTTCATTCTCAACAGGTGTCCACAGGTTAGTACCAGATTAGAACAGTTCTTTAAATTTTTGTTAAAGGCTATTACTTGGTGCTAAAGAGAAACCGTAGCATGGCAACCGGCATAGATCTATTTTGCTCACCTTTTTTATTGATGGGTTTGTGCTATTGTCAGGTGCTTTAGATCTGTAGTATTGAGACCTTCATAGATCTATTATGCTCACCTTTTTTCAAAGTATGCTACCCTGACCTGACCTCACGCTCATCTTTTTGTCTACTAGTGCGCCGTCAGCGTAAACCGTTAGCGCAGGCGCATCGTTACATTTTTTTTATTAAGTAGATTTACGGCCCTGGATCTCAGCATTCCAATATCATACATAAAAATACGCGAATTTATTCCTACTTGTTGATATTGAATATATGTACTTTACAACTGGGATGTTATGGATATGAAATTTCGGATAGGTTTTGGATATAGGAATGATTATTATACCGGATACGGATACGGATGCGGATATGAAATTATTTCGGATTATCCGTTACTTACGGATAATTTCGGTTACGTATAATATTTTTTAAGGAATTACAAAAGTAAAATACCAACAGCTACTAAAATGGTTACATAACGTGTCTAAATTAGGCTCCGCTCCTATCCGATACTGTCCGAAACTTATTTCGGATTCGGTTACGGTTACGGATATTTTTTATATCGGATATCCGATAGTTTCGGTTACGGTTACGGATCTTCTTAATATCCCTGCTTTACAAGTAAACAATCATCGTTCCATTTTTTTTATTAACTAGTTGTAGGTCCCTGGAAATTGTAATTCAATAAATGTTACGTTTCATTAATAATTCAATAATAATTCAATAAAAAATAAGTGTTTTTGTGCGAATTTGTCCCGGGTTGTTGATATAGTATATATGTCTTTTGCAGGTAAACAAATACACAGTCCATCCGTGGGTGCACCAGTATGTGAACAATGTGACGTGTGAACACCAGCTCCTTGCTGCTATGTTCCCCGACGTCAACCCCAGTGGGGACCGGCCTAATCATAATTTCTCCATGACTGCTGGTGACTTCCTCAAGGTAAGATTATATAGTATAGATGTAAAAACCCGGTATTTAGCCAAATTTATGGTTAGCTACGGATAAAATGCGGTTATTAACAGTTAGTTCTGACTGTGAAAAAGAAACAGTAAAAATATGTCTTTTTATAGTGCAGTTTTTTTTTTCAATATAGAAATATATTCCATATATCTATTTTATAATGCTTTCTATATGTGTTCATTAACTTAGTCCAGTCATGAGTAATACATAGAAATAAGAAGGACTTGTATTTAGAGTTTCCAGTTGATCCTTTTTTTATAAAGTTAAATTGTCTTTATTTTGTGGTCAATTCTTTTTGGGTTCTAGTACCAAGCATAAAATGTGGTTAATTGGGGAAGTACATTTGGATTGTTAGTTGTTATGTGGAAGGATGACCCCGTCGCTAGCAATGTGCCATGTCAGGTTGATCTCCATACACATCCCCCTGGAAACCATCATTCCTGGTGAATTTGCCACGATAGGCTGATTGACATGATCTCCAAATCCATCCTGGTTAATACGTGGTGAACTCGCCTCCGTTGGTGCCCCGGCAGCGCATACGCGCGTATACGCCCCGCCTGGTACACCATTCCATCATCATCATCATCATCATCATCATCATCATCTGCTACTTCTTTATCCCATCAATTTGGGGTCGACGTAATATATTTTTCTTTTCCATTTATCCCTGTTCGCAGTTATCTCGTTATTTACTCCCTTTCGTACCATATCATTTTTCACACAGTCTATCCATCTCTTTTTCCTTCCTCTGCCATTATAACCATCCATTTCATGTATAACACCTTCCTTCAAATATTATCTTCATTTCTAAGTATTACAGGAACATGCACCATTAAAAAAAACATTGGAATGCTAAGAAGTTCATCTCTTGCAGGTATATATGGAAGGCGAGGAATGGAACTGCGTAGCGACCTGCTTCTTCATAGACTGCGCGCCAAATGTGATAGAATTCATAGAGAGGATATACAGCATATTGGAGCCAGGTGGCTACTGGGTGAATTTGGGTCCCCTGTTGTATCATTACAGGTCAGAGGAGTGATTGTTTACTTCCTAGTTTATTAATCCCTGGTGTTGAGACACGTACATAGGCTTTGCTTTTTTTTTTCATTTACCATCATAACGTAAACTAAAAAAAATTACATAGTTTAAAAAAAAAAATCTCCGGACAATTCACACAGCGCCATTTAGTCCCAAGCTAAGCAGAGCTTGTGTTATGGGTACTAGACAACTGATATAAATACTTAGATACATTTTTTTTGTAAATAAATAAATATTATACATCGAAAACATCCAGACCGATACAAACAATCGTACTCAAGAATACAAATGTTTGTACCGTGCGAGGAATCGAACCCACGACCATCGGATAGTAAAGCGGTGTGCTAAACCTCTAGACCACCGAGGCTGTCAGTTATGACGACCTCGGTGGTCTAGCGCACCGCTTGTTAGAATTTAAAATAGATAGTTATCAATAAAATATTGTTTGCATGCAACACCAATAGATGGCGCTGTCACAAAATTAAATATCGTTTTATAAAACTCCATATGTATTTTATATTATATAATTTTTCTCCCCCTCCGATTGATCCCCCGTCCGATTCAAACGGAGATTGATATTACGACGGCCTGAGCCGAGGTTCGAACTAGTCCCTAGCGGTACCCTCAGACTAAAGTCATACGACTTTAGTCGCTCCATAAGTCCTTCCTTTGGTTTTGAGTGCCATCTGCACTCGCCCTCTATCGTCCGGTGAAGCTATAAACAGCTGCGGCCAACAGCGTTATTATATTAGTAGTCCGAAATAAAAACATTTTTTTTATTTGAAACCGATCAATAAACCTTATATACACGAGTGTAGTATTTGGTTTATAGTTAAGACCTTGTGGTTTTAACGCTGATGGTTGCGAGCTAGATTCGAATTGGTGGTTTGTATTCACACACTTAAACTTAAAAATGTAAAGTAATAATAAAATTATTTAAAAGAGCAACACGCAAGTTTCTTGCTCGTTCTTCTTGTGATGAGACAGCTTTCCGAACGAGCGGTAGATTAAAAAAATGTAATGACTATTCAAAAGTGCTTCAATGTAAGTTTATTTGAATAAATGATTTTCTATTCTATTCTATTCTATTCCTCGCATTTTTTTTATATTAATCGGCGATCAGTCACAAGACTATAAGCAAATGTGTTGTGTACTGCTCGATTTGCAGTCAAGAGGTCAGCACCACTTCTGCCTTTGTGTGTATATGTTCTAACTTTATTTTTTATATATAATCTGTATTGTCGACAGTGATACACCGACAGAAAACAGCATCGAGCCGCCGTACGACATACTATTAGAGATTATAAGGGACATAGGATTTGATATACTGGTCAGTATATGCTTTATAAAACCTACTTCTACCTCTGGTAATACAGTGAAACCTGGTTAATGGGGATCTCATGGGAACAAGACTTATGTATCAACTAGCTGACCCGAGCGACTTCACCTGCATCACACTTATTATTATATATCACCTAATTTACAGAATATTTTTTTAAATTATAACCTATGTGTTATACTTATGTATAAGGTATGTAACTGTAAAGTTTCATCAAAATCCGTTCAGTAGTTTTAGTGCGAAAGAGTAACAAACATCCATACGTATAAACTTTCGCGTTTATAATATTATTAAGATTACGATATGGCGGACTTTAACACCTTGAGGTATTTTCTCCCAGTCAACCACAGAGCTTTATCTGGACAGTACAATAAAAAAAATGTATAAAATTTAAAATAACAATGTAAAAAAACTATGACTCAGATTTAACATGCCCATAATTATATATAAACTAGCTGCACCCGCGACTTTGTCCGCGTGGAATTTAACTATATTTTTCTAAAATAAAAGTAGCCTAAGTTACCTGCCAAAAAAGTCCCGTCAGAATCGATCCAGCCATTTCAGAGATTAGCCGTATTAACAAACAGACAGGCAAAAACTGTAAAAAATGTTATTTTTATGTATGTACCGTATCGATATCCATATACATATAGTAAAAAACGGTTATTTCAATATTATATTTATAATTTATACATATAACTACATACATATATTTACACGTACATTTACAAAATACATTTTTTTTTACTTTTACAGAAAGAACAGACTGGCGTCAAAACGAAATACGCACAGAATCCCAACTCCATGATGCAGCATGAGTATGACTCCGTTTTCTTCGTATGCAGAAAGCCTTACTGAATAAAAGCTATGTGTATATATTCTTCAGGAATTGTCGGCATTACTCTGTGTAAATGTACAATATATATATTTTTTGTTATGAATGAATGGTGCACCCGCCTGCGCTAATGGTATATGTTGGCGGGGCACCAGTGGAGGATGATAAGATGTGCATGAGGTCAGGTCAGTTAGCCCATCGTGACAGATTCCCCTGAAATTAACCCATCATGGTTAATTTCAAGTGAATCTACCATCTTTCCAGGAAGAACCGCGTGGAGGTCGACCTAATATGGTACGATGCTAGCAATGGGGTTATAATCCCCGTTTTACGTTTCCAATTTCAGAAAAAAGCATAAATAAGTGTTATTTAACTATCGACGCAAAAGGCGGCTATCTATTTACCAAAAGTAATAATAAAAAATAAAAAAAACTAATTTTGACTCAAATCTGGTAACATCTCAGTAACAGGTTTTTGTATTACAAAAATAAGCAACTGAAAAACGTGAATATACAATAGTAATATGTGAAATACAATGTTAATCTAATTTGTACTGTAAGTCTTAGTATTTTGGTCAGTATTTGTTTGTAGGATATTCTAAGTTATTTTTATATATTTTTTTAAATGGATGGTAATGGAATGGTGCACCCGACTGTATTGACGGTATACGCTGGCGGGGCACCAGTAGAGGATGATAGGATGAACATGAGGTCAGGTGGCGAGTTCACCAGGAATTCACCTGGATGGTTTTCAGGGGGACCGCGTGGAGTTTTGTTTTTTTATGGATAATAGTGGAATGGTGCACCCTGGAGGATGACAAGATGAGTATGAGGTTAGGTCAGTTAGGTCAACGTGGTGAATTCACCATGAATCACGATGGTTTCCAGGGGCACCACTTGGAGATCTACCTGACATGGTACATTGTTATGGGACATTACTAACAAATGCCTTCTCCCCAATCTAAAACATGCCTAGTACGAAGAACAAAATTATTATTAATCTCGTATATTGCATCTTTCACCTCGTACATCGTATTTTGACCGATTTCCGTTAGCCAAAATTTCGTACACACGGTTCAGTACGAGGACGAAAATGTCCTCGTTCTCAAGGTCAATAATCTCGTATCTGTACGAAGATTGTTGTGCGGTTGGCATGCCTGCCTTGGCTAATTTTCGTAGATCATGATTTCGTACACACGACCTTGTACGGGTACGAAAATATGCTCGTATTCAAGATCAATAATCGCGTATCTGTACGAAGATTCTTGTGCAATTGGCATCCCTGCTTTGGCCAATTTTTGTAGGTCTTAATTTCGTACACATGTACTTGTACGAGGATGAAAATATCCTCGTATTTCAAGGTCAATAATTTCGTATCTGTACGAAGATTCTTGTGTTGTTGGCATCCCTGCTTTGGCTAATTTTTGTAGGTCAAAATTTCGTACACAAGACCTTGTACGAAGACGAAAATGTCGTCGTACTGAAGGAAAAATCTCGTATCTGTACGAAGTTTCTCGTACCGTTGGTATCCCGGTTTGTATGAAAAATGATGATGATTTCGCCACTCGGTACGAACTGAAGTGTCTTATTTTTGTAATACATACTGAAATATCCACATGAAAATAAACTGTAATAACTCAAAATTATAATTTTTGGAAAATCTACTTTCATAGTTTATATTAAGGTAGATTTTTCATAATTTGTAACTTATGACTTAATGCAAATTAATATGAAGAGTGGCCTATATAGATATAAATAGATATAGTATATAATTTGCGGCAAAGAACTTGAACCCTTTGATTAGTCCTCTAGAATGGTAACAAGAGTGGTACTATGGGTGATAACGTGATGACGTGATGTTACCTCTAACCATCAGGACCTTGATTGATATCACATGATTGATCTTAGTCCTCTAGAATGATAATGCATGAGTTGTACGTATGATGACGTGATGACGTGATGTTACCGCTAACGATCAGATTTTTTATTTATATTATATGATTGATCTTAGTCCTTTGGAATGGACACGCATGAGTGGTACCACGGCTGATAAAGTACTGTTACCACTTACCATCAGGTGAGCCGTTACTGTGTTAAGCTATTGATGCAAATTAAAAAAAAAACTACATTGATTAAAATGTACAAGGAAGTGTTAGAGATGACGCAATAGTCTTAATAATTTGCGGTGTTTGCACCACACTTCATTGTTTTGGATTCTATTAATTAAATCGTGAATAGTTTTTTCAGGCATCTTACATGTTATTTTTTTATTATATTTTCAATGAACAATGTTAGAATTTGTATCAAAGTCATGTTTTTTTTGTGACAATTAACTGTAATTTTTTATATCGCTAATGCGACCAACCGACTGAAGGTATGCTTAGTTTTACCCTATTGTGACAGTAAATGTTAATGATGTTTGTAAGTATTGGAATATTTAGTGTTAGATATATTTTGTTACACTAACAGTACAAGCGGCCGCAACGCCGAAATCTATGAGAACAAACAAACGAAAACTTATTAATCAACAACTGCATATTTAATATTTTGGTCTTCAATATATATATGTATGTATAATTAGTTAATTACATATCTATACATATATAAATAACTCATACATACAATAATATATACATATAAAGAGAACTGCTTGGCGATTGATATTGTATTAGCCAAGCGGAGTCCACCGGAAAGTCGCATCCCCTACAACCTGACGATTGACCGCCTGTATATTACCAGCCTAAGTTGTGATTTCGGCGTTGTGACACGCATGTTCGTTTATGTTTAAATTGTTTTTGTTAAATGATTGTGTTATTTCAAAATAATTTAGATCATTGTGAAACGTGCATAAGATTTTTGGATTTTATATAAACCTTAAAGTGACGATCGAAACCGTAGCATAGCTCACTATGAGTTAACACTTTAACTGCTGAGTAAATTCGTAAAAAAAAACTATCAGTGCTCACTCATACAGTATGTATGGACTCACTGTTGTACTAGCATGTAAGGTGCGAATTTCTAACTAGGTCACCAGTCGAGTAAAGGGCCATAAATTGCGTCACACGAATTCCTCATTCAATCATATTTTGATTTATTTGTCCCACTTTGTCACAGTTGTCACAGCTTGTCACATTTGTGAAATAACAGAAACGATAATCAAACACGTCGTGTAACGTGCGACGACTTCGTTATTTAATTAAATATTATGGTTTTTTTTAAATATAAAGTTAAGAGTACAAATTTTGTGTTTTAAATAGTTAATTTTAAACTTTCGTGTTTAATATACATTATTTAAATTATTAACCGGGTCTTAACACGAATAATTTTATGGCAATAAAGGTATTTACCTCTCTCGACGTTTCGACTAGGTTGCACTAGCCGTGGTCGTGGCCGTACCTTTATTTGCCATAAAATTATTCGTGTTAAGACCCGGTTAATAATTTAAATAATGTATTTGTGTTTTAAGATATGAAGTCATGAAATTTAGAACCCCGTCCATCCCCTTGTCATACAATGTCAATTCCCTCACCCCCTGTGACGTGTGACGTAATTTAGGATCACGCTTAAGGATGCGCGAGATGTCTCAACCCATTCCACGCGAGATCTCTGTAGTTGAAAGTGTTATCAGAGATCGTCAATTTTGTCTTATGTATTTACATGTCCCATGGTTAGTTAGTGCGTAGTTTATTTTAGTTAGTTCAAAACCAAGGTCTCACAATTAAGTATTAATATTAGTATAACTCGAGGTCGTAATTTGAACGTTTCTAATTATATATTTTAACCTAATCTATACCTGTCACAAACCCATCAATTTTTATCCGTTACAATTTTGAGAGTTATTAATAACATCGTTATATAGCTCCCCCTTAATCAGATATATAAATATTTTATAGGAAAAAAGTCAGTTTGAGGATAAGTGGCGCCATCTAGCGAATTACGTGAAATAGTAAGTAGTTGGCGTTAGTTATCCTAAAATAGGTATCGAATAAAGCAATGGTTTTATGAAAAGTTATTGTTAAGTGGAAGAGAGTTGTTAATTATCTAAATGTACGGTGTCCTTGCGGGTTTGTGTTGTTTTTTTAAATTAAGTACATTTTTAAACTTTATGTTAGTCCTCTCGCAGGACACGTACGTTAGTAGAACCAGAGATAAGAGGCGAAGCTTTAATATTAATAACTTTTACTAAATTTTCGACGAAAAAGTTTTAAATTTATTTTTCAGATTACCACTTTCATGAAAGTGTACCAATGTCACACACACACATATGTACATACATATATACAAACTAAGTCTGTATATAAAGACTTGTCTCATAATATTTGACCTATGAATATTTTGTACACAACTTTGGTTATATTTAACGAATTTGTTAAAATTGGTGTTTATGTTATTTGCCATAGAGTTCAATATTATTTGATGACTTAGTTAATAGTTTTTTTTTATATGTGATAAATGTTCATTGTAATTACATATGTTTTTCTGCCAATTATATCTGCAGTGAGTCGAGATTTTTTTTTAAGAAATTCGCATTAGTTGTTCTCGATTCACTGCAAATAGGGCGATTTTTTAATTACGTCATACGATGTCATGATTTTTTATTTTCTACCTTCCTTGTCACAGTTCTGTAGCCACGTAGCATGATGGGGCGCTTTCTCCACCCTGGTTCTAACCTGTAAGGTACCTAACCAAACCTAAAAAAAATATATCTAAGTACTACCTACGGTACTTAACATCTATAAGAAAGTTCATACTCGACAGTCGACACAAAACCCCCTCCGGTCGATCCCCTGTCCAAATCAAACGGGGATCGAAATCGGCCCGAACCGAGGTTCGAACCCCCTAGTCAGCCTACAGCCGCTCCATAAATCCTTCCGTGGGTTTGGAGTGCCATCTGCACTCGTCCCCTATCGTCTAGTGAAGCTGTAAAGACCAGCTGTGGCCAACAATATTACAGTAGTCAAAAAAAAAACACATACAGGGTGCTAGGGTGTAGGTACCCGTTTTGTATGGAAAAAATAATCGGGGTAAAACCGCGGGTATAGTTTGCTAGTTACATAATATTTTAGATTACTGCCCCGCCCTGAGCCCATAGCTGGCTGGGCCCATGTGTTGGTCACATTTATGAGACGCCCTCTTCCAATGTGGCGTCACATATTTTGAAATTTGAACTATTTTAATAAATAGGTCCAATTACGTGTTTTAATACTTAGTATAGATTTTATAATGACGTCATGAAATTTAGCACCTCCTCCCATCCCCATGTCACCCGTTACAGACTCCCTCCTATTTTTGTCAATAGTTCAAATTTCGGGATTGAATACTTACATACGTTACATTTTGTAATGACGTCACGAAATTAAGTCCTCCCGCCCCCTTGTGACACATTGTCGACTCCCCTCCTCCTCCCTTTGAGTGACGTAATTTATAAATGGCCCCATACATTGTGCGGTAGTTTTATGAAAATGTGAGGAACTGTTATATAATGATATATAAAGTATCTACATTGTAAAAGAGATTATATTAAATGTTTATTGGCTAATTTTCTTTGATTTGTGTCCTAACTTTAGATTATACTACCTTTTACATTTATTATAGATATTGCAATTCATGATTGGTTAACCCTTAATTTTTTTATGCATCTGGAATGATAAACACGTGACGGGTTTGATGACAAGTGGTAACGGTTTATATAAATGTTTAGTATGTGAGAAAGAGACGGAAGCATAATGTCTTCTCTAACGCATACTGCTGGCGTCATATCATACGGACGATACGGACATTAAGCTGTGAATGGCGAGTGAGAATAGTGGTGTCTGAGAGCCGATAATTATGACGACTAATAGTACAACATGAATAGAATCACGGACATCACATCAACCGCCTGTGGTATTCCTCATGCGTTGTGATTTATGAGGATTAAGGTCTCAGTATTATGTGTTATGTTCCATATCTCACCAATTGGCCGACAACTTTGTAAGCACGCTACTTGGCTGCTGTAATAGCTGAGACAGAGGTATCAACGCAGACGATTTTTTTTACATTACGACGGTGGCAAACAAGCATACGATCTATCTGATGGTAAATGTTACCGTAGCCTAGTGACACCTGAAACACCAGGGTTGACTGAATGTGCGCGTTGTCGACCCGTAAGAAACCTTAACATATCCTTCTTGAAATACAGTTTCTACAGAAAACCTCGGCAGGTAGTTCATTCCACAATGTAAGTGTGAGCAAGCTCCTCTGAAAACGCACTGTCCGATACCACTTTGGTTCTAGCGTGTGGTGATAACCTGTCGACTTTATAAAAGGTATGTAAACAGAAACAGCAAAGCAATAATTATAGTTTACCGTTTTTTTAAGACAGGAATGAAAGTAATATATTAATCAGTTAAAGTTTTATTCAAATATTGCACGAAATATCTACCTATCTTATTCACATCTTCATTCGAATGGTTGGCTTTTGCATACGTGAGGAACTGTCTTCTGAGTACCAGTAGCTTCTGAGGATTCACACATTGTACGAAACTGGAGTCCAACTCGCAGCCGGGGTACTCCGGGAACCTCACTTCATCCTGGTCCAGCTGTTTCGCGTCGAGTATACATTTTGATATTGATTGTGTTACTTTGTCTAATTCGTATAGGAAATTCGTTGAGGTCAGTGGAGGCTGAAAAAGAATATTAATAATATATCCATGGATAATTCATACAGCGCCGTTTAGTCTCAAGCTAAGCAAAGCAGAGCTTGTGTTATGGGATGCACTAAATAACAGATGAATATATACTTATTTTGTTTTGAAAATACACACAATAGATATTGAATTTTTTTGGGGAGAAAGGGATTGTTAATAATGTCGACTTATAATTCCCTTACTAACGATGCACCATATCAGGTTGACCTCCACGTGGTTCCCCCTGAAAACCATCGTAATAAATTCTTTGTGAATTTCCCATGATGTGCATTGACCTGACCTTATTATCATTTTATCATCCTCCACTGGTGCCCCGCCAGCATAAACTGATAGTGGAGGTGGGTGAACCATTCCATTATCACCCATAAGCATAAAAAAATATACATAGAAATGAACCAGACCAATACAAACAGTCATACAATCAATAGAAATGTATGTACCATGAGAGGAATCGAACATGTCACCATCAGAGGTAAAGCACACCGCCTTACCACCGATGGTAAACCACTAGATCACTAAGGACTGTCTGTAACTTACGTTCTGAGTACTCATGTTAGGAGGAGGTGGTTTCCTCTCAAATAGAACCTGGTATACACTCTCCAAGTCTAATGTGTCCGTTGGTTGCACCGTGAACAGTGGACTGTCCCATCTATTATTGGAATTTGGTTCTTCAAATCTAAAACATGAATCATTTTTAAATATTATTGTTTATTACTTGCTTGGTTAATTAGTCATATATGTTTAGTATTAAATGGTATTATACAGTTACTGCTAAACCTGTATATTTGGCTGACTCTAAAATTATAGAAAAAATTTCTTATAATGTGGCATTAAAAATACACCTATAATTTCACCTTTCTACCCTCAATCCCTAATTTTTAATAGCAATTTTAATTTATATGGCAAAACGATGTTTGTGGGATCAGCTAGTAACATATATATAAATAATACTTACTGCATCTATTTAAACTTCTTCTGTTAGATTGTGTAATGATGTGTCAATTAATAAAAACTTTGTATTCAAATTTGAATATTGTAAAAAGAATGATAGATCTTACTCACCTAAGTCTTGACAATGCATTGAACACTTCTTCTGTATATGGTACCATATCTATATTTCCTTCTCCTTCACTGTTTTCTGTCTCACTCACTCTTTTCTTGTTATCTTGCCATGCTTCCTCATGATTCCTGATAGTGTATAGTGTACATTGAGTGCATTTTGATGCCTTTGAAGCACAATACAGTTCGTAACGGTAACCTGCACAAGAAGTGGTTATGTAAATTTAAATTATCGATGGCAACACTACTGTTTTATCCAGGATCTGCTAGTGAGGGATCGGTGGCGGATTATATGAAATCAACACAGCATTAAGTCAACTCAGTTTTTCCTTTCATCTGCGAAGGAACCAATTATTGGACTCAGACACTACAGCCCAATCTGTGAGATCTCTTGTGTCTCACAGATGGCGCATTAATGTCATTTGGACAGCTAACAGTTAAAATAAGGTATTCGCTAACGAGGCACTGGTGGATGATAGGATCAGCGTAAGATAAGAATAATTAGGCATATGTTTCAAATTTAAAAAAATAAAATTTATCAGAAACTAACTACAAATATTTGTAGGAAAGACAGCAATGATTTAATAGCTTAGTAATGGGACCATGAGTTCCCTTGGGATCCCACGAACTGTAGGGCTGTTTTCTGTATTTTGTTATTTATTTGTATCTGGTTTTACCTTTTATATAGTTACTGCCATCCAATATAACAACACTGTCTTTTCCTATTAGCTTGAGCACCTCTGATTTTAGGTAACCGCGTATTCTTTTTTCTTTTTGCGAGTCCAAATAAGCACCGTTTTTCTCATAACCTAACTTAATTATAGCCTCGTCTTCTGATATAATTTCTACACGTTTCCCATATTTGTTCTCAAAGAAATCCTTTAATTCTTTAGCACGAGTTGTTTTACCACTGACTGGTGTGCCACATATAATTATTAAAGGCATGTTTATTAGTAATTTCTAAATAAACATAAGTAGAAAGCAGCTGTTAGCCAAATTCTGCTAAATTTAATTAGTCTGTGACTAAGACATTTACTAATAGTGACAGTCTGATTGACAGCTAAATACTGAGATTACACAGTTTTCTTTATACATATACTACATCTGTAAACACATTAGAAACGTAGTGATTAGTTACTCATTGGCACAAATGTTTTGAAATCAACCAAGCGAGTCGAACATTACCGAATGGTATGTTCATATATAATTTTTTTTTTTCACATATCCCAAATGTAATCCATATCCTTTCGTTCAATCATTCTATTTATCTATTGTTTATAGTGCATAATCCTCTATTGTACATTTGTAGGATTACAACTTAACTTTAACATTTTTACAGTAGATTTTTGAAAATTTGCAATTTATAAGTTAATACAGTTTTTTTTAAATGGCCGATATGTATAGTTGAGGACCATTATGGATCAACCACACGACTATAAATAACATAATCATAGTCAATATTTCGTTAGATGTAATTTTAAAATAACTGTGTATAAAAGTTTGTAATAGTATATTTTATATTCATCAACCCGATTAATGTATTTCAGCGACAGCTACCACGTTCCATACCATCATGTGGGCAGTCAGCTCTTTTGTCAATCTAATAGTGCAAAGACGACCTCTACACGTCTTACTGAGGTCGCCAATTGATCAATCGGTTAACTGATAAGATTTAGGATTCCGACTCAAAATAAGTTCAGTAACATAGCGTCGTAGTCGGCTGATTATTACCCTGATTTACGCCTAATAGTCGTGAGTTCAAATCTGGTCATAAAAAAAAAACTATGTGTCTTTCTGGTTTTTTATGCAATTGTGATGGCAAATAAGCTTACGGCACGCCTAATGGTAATCGTTCTCCTTCTTCTACTGCCCCATACTGGGACGTTCTGGTGTTGATTTTCATCAACTAGATGTACTATAGATAGATTTGTAATAATAATAATAATAATCCCTGAACATTTTTTTAAATTTCAGTGCAATTCACACAGCGCCATCTAGACACAAGTTAAGCTAGCTAAAGCTTGTGTTATGTGTACTAGATGACTGGTACAAATACATATATTTTATTTTTGTAAATAAATACACAGAAAACACCTAGACCGATACAAACAATGATACTCATGAAAACGAATGTTGGTACCGTGCGAGGAATCGAACTCGCGACTATCGGAAGTAAGACGGTGTGCTAAACCGCTAGACCACCGTATATATCATTTTAAAGTGTTCTATTACATTAAATCTCTATTTATTCTACTTCAATGTACAGTACATTTTGCGAATTTAACACCATACGGCATTTTCTGCCAATCAACCATAGGTGGTTTTCTTTTGAATTACTCTAATGCTGTTGGCCGCAGCTGGCCATTACAGGTTCACCGAACAATAGGGAGCGAGTGCAGATAGCACTCCAAACCCGCCGAAGGACTTCTGGAGCGGCTGAAGGCCAACGCCTGACGGATACGACTTTAATCTGAGGCCACCGCTAAGGGTTCGAACCTCGGCTTAGGCTGTCGTAATTTCGATTCCCGTTTGAATTGGGCGGGGGATTGATCTAAGAGGGCCATAGGTGGTGCAGAGAATAATTTACAATATGTTACGGAGGGGGGAAGGGGATTGTCAGTAATGTGGATTCATGACCCCATTGCTAGCAATGTACCATGTCAGGTCGACCTCCACGCGGTTCCCCCTGGAGACCATCGTGATAAATTCCTGGCGAATTTGTCACGATTGCCTAACTGACCTGACCTCATGCTCATCTTATCATCCTCAACTGGTGCTCCGCCAGCGTAAACCGTTAGCACAGGCGGACGCTCCATTCCATTATCGTCCATAAAAAAATATATATGTTACGGAACCGTAATTGACAGCAATACAACCAGTTGTCTCGATATAATCAAGCTGACGTTTAATTGATTACTGCATTTAGGCGACAGTGTCGATTGCTTCAGAGATAGCGCAGTAATTATCTAGTTTGATGCATAGAAGGCTGTAAGGTTAAATATGTAATTTGTCAATATGAAATGAAATTGTATTTATTAGGATCTATCTAATTAAATAAACGACACTCACAATTACAATCAACGTAATATAAAATGATCTTATACAATAAGACAGAAAACAAAACAAAAAGTGTATACCTAATGTTATAATCTATATAAAAATAATGAAAAGAGTATAGAAAAATATTTTTACCATATTGTTTAAAAATTTTCTTGTGTGTGTCCGTATGTATGTGTCAAAGCATATGAATAGGTCCGTGCTCAGTATCATCTTGGAAAAGATAATATTATATAGTATGATGCTGCAGCGGGTGTATCGCTGCAGCGCTGTTTTTCAGCAGAAGACAAGACCTGGGGTCGTGTGTAGCTGTGCTATACTAATAATAAGTTATTTAAAAGAGGAACACGCAAGTTTCTTGCTCATTCTTCTTGTGATGAGACAGCGTTACGAATAATTGGTAGAATGAAAAAATATGACTATTCGAAAGTGCTTGAATGAAAGGCGGTCCTCCACAGTGCGGTATTCTAGAAACTTTTCGCCACGCACCACCACATTGTGGAATCACCTTCCAGCAATGGTATTTCCGAAATGAGAGGGCTTATTCCTTCTTAAAAGGCAACGCACTTGCAATTCCCCTAGTATTGCGGATACTCATGGGTGGCGGTAATCACTTACCATCCGGTGAGCCACAAGTGCATTTGTCCCCTGTGCTATATAAAAACATTGACAATGATCGTGTAGTGACGCTTCAATGAATAGAATGCGCCACTAATGATGAATTATCTATTCAAATGACAACACGGACAGTTCAATTTCCTTTGTATTAGTGAGTGGCGCCTGCGAGCACATGCCCGCTGTCAGCCATAATTTCTCGAGGTCGGTACGCATTCCAAATTCGATTTTTGAAAGATGTTTTAAACAATTGAATTTGGTAATATTTCTTTTTTTTTTTAGTAATTAGTAACTTGTTTTTTGGCATTAGTATAATGTCAAAGAAATGCAATTCGGCCTATAAATAATTACGGGCATGCACATATGGACAAACCTTCAAAATGATACTATGTAGACAATTGCCAGCAAATATGGCGTTGCATATAAAAGTTATTCTGCAAGCACATGGCCGCTGTCAACCGTGATTAGTCGAGGTCGGGAGGCATTCCAAATTCGATTATATATTTTTTTTATTTTTGTAATTTGCAACCAGTTTGTTTTTATTACTCTGTTCAGACTATTGAGTAAGTAATCACTTGGGTTAGGCTTGTCATGTCGAATAAAATAACATTGGTTTGAACCGGTGTAGGTATCTAACCAATTTTTTTAGTACTAAACAAGTTGTTTTACTATATTTACATGCAAATATTCGCTTATATTAATTTCGAAATATTTTGTAATCATTTGTGCAAGTTTCAGGACAAAAAAATTGCATGTAGTTGTGCAAGATTTTCATTTATACAATATTAACGAGAAAAAGATTGCAAAGATTTGATTTGTATCAATATCGACAAACTGCCTCCTATTGTCACGGGTTCGATTTTTCGCACAGTACAAACATTTGTATTCATGAGTATGATTGTTTGTATTGGTCTGGATGTTTTCTATGTATATCTATTATGTGTGTATTAAAAAAATATATATTTCTATAAGTTTTTTCTATAGCTAGATACCCATAACACAAGCTTAGCATAATTGTAAGCTATGAGAGCTTATGTTATTAATTTGAATATATTTTTAATCTCTTTAATAGAGTTTAAAAAAAAGTTACAAATCGTAAAGTTAAAAATCAAAATAAATTCCAGAAATACTCAATAGTCGTATTAGAATAGTCATATTTTTTATCCCATCACTCATTCGGAACGCAGATTCATCACAAGAAGAATGAGCAAGAAACTTGTTTGTTGCTCTTTGCAATAGATTTTTTTTAATAAAAATAATTAATAATCTATTCCTGGAGAAACAGTCAAAATATAGTTATAACAATTGACATGGACATATAAAAGACAGTCCTTCGAGCGTACATCGTATTTATATTGGAACTTAGAAAATTTTTCAAATCGTAATTGCAAATAACAAAAACCAGTTCTAATTATTACTTATTGCTTAATTAATTCATGAGAATATTACGAAAATCGTATATAGCCGAAAATGAATTTGAATTAATATAACGTTCTAAAAAAATAAGTGAGCATTAAAAAAATGCACGACTTAGCAATGATTTCGATAAGGAACCGTTATTGCATTATACGGGTCAAGGATTCAGGAACTACGACTGAATGTCAAGGTTTTTCAAGTATTTGCCTTTAAAAAGATATATATTAAAGGATATCAGGTTGCGAACACTGATTAGATTTTTTGATTTTTTTAAATTTTTTTTTATATAGCATATGCTGGTGGTTACTCTATTCTCCCAAATTTGAATTTAAATGAAATAGTATTATTGTAAATATGTACAACATTAAAAAAAAATACGAGCAGAGTTTCTTGTCAGTTCTTCTCATCTCGAAATCATTCCGAACTGACGGTAGATTTGACATATCATAAGAGTCTGTAATAGACCTACATGAATAAAGATATTTTGAATTTGAATTTGAATTTGATATACTGAAATTATCTTTGAGCAAATTTAAAACATCTGTTGTATTGTAATTATTGGGCAAAGCCTATTACATACTGAACGATTACTTGAATGACAAAACGTACATGGAAATAGTTTTCATTTCATAGACAACTATATGTCTATGTCTAACATTCAATGAAAATCCCGTGCATGATAAACGTATACAGGTATACAATGTAAATACTGGATAAAAAAAAAGGAATTTAGTCGAGTTCCTCAGACTTCTCAATTGAATCTGTATAATCTACAAGCTCGTCTGCCAAATAATCGTCTACAGAATAATACATATGTATATACAACACTAAATATTAGAGAAACAGAGCGTTATAAAATCGATTCCCGTTTGAATGTGACAATCAGAGGGGTTACCGAGGGTAGCTGTGAGTAGCGGCCCAGACGTTTCATTGCGCTGGATGGCGTTATTGGGTTCGTCGTCTTCATCGGCGAGGACGGTGTCGTGTGTTGACCTATGAACAACACCTTAAATAGTACAGTGACTGAAATAGGCTGACTAAACAGAAACAGAATTTAGTACAAAGTCGTTTCATCAGTAATTAGAGCTACATATATTAATATTACAAATTCGAAAAAGTCTATCAGTTTGTATCTTTTCATAATAAAAACGCTGTACGGATGTTAATGATTTTTTTTGCAGGTAGAGCTATCACGACGACGAATATATCTTTTATTTTAAAAATGCAGACGAAGTCGCGGCATACTGTTAGTAATAACATATGGAGAGACTAGTTTGTTAATCTGATATCTATCCCACACCTGGTCAGCTGTGGACAATGCGATGGTATGCCACCAAGGTTCTGACCTGACCTTCGCAAGGAACGGAAACATATGTGTGGTAAGTTGTTGAGAATAGGACGGCGTTATGCCACAATGTAATTGTGTCTTTATCTTATTATTATAACAAGAGGTTCGAAAGCTTCTGTATGAATAAATGATACTTTTATTATTTATTTCATTCAGGCTACATGGCCCTTATTATAACCTTATAGACTAACATATATAAGAAATAATAATAAAATATAAAATCAAATTGTGTCTATAGTCACGGCACTGAAGACGGCAATCTGCCACAGTAGCGCCGTACAACATATCCTTCGGCCAGTAGTTCTCCTTCATGAAGGTAAGCAGCATATTGGTGATGACCCGGGCCGCGAACGCTTTGTTTGAAAGAAGTTCGCGTTGTGATTCGATTCCAGCTGCGTCACTCTCATTACATTCGTTTGAGTACGAATTTAAGTTAAATTGAATTTGGGTTTGAATTTTAGCTTGTGTTTTAATTTCAGTTTCAATTTGACTTTGATTTTGAATCGTCTGAAGGCCAATTCCCGCCTGACGGATACGACTTTAGTCTGAGGGCACCGCTAGGGATTCGAACTTCGGCTCAGGCCATCGTAATGTTGATGCTCATTTGAATAAGACGCAAAATTAGAGGGGTAGGTATTGTAGATTGTTTTCATAGTAGCATGTTTTGTATGGAGAAGGGTAAGGACATACAGCCTCAAATCAATATATCTTACATAATCCGATCCACAGATCAATATGAGATTACATTCTAAATTCAATCCGGATTACTGTAAGCTTTTTAGTGTGTTTAATCACTTCGCAGGCGCCGGCCATCGACCTGCTTTTGTGCATGTATTATTTATTTATTTATTTAGATTACAATCCGTTAGTCATGTATAGATGTACTGTCGTGTTATTGTTGGGTAAGTAATAAATTAGAATTTATTTATTTATTATTTATTTATAAATATGCCAGTGTTATGGTTACCTTTGGACTGGGTATTTATTTATTTATTTAGATTACAATCTGTTAGTAATGTATAGATGTACTATCGTGTTATTTTTAGGTAAGTAATAAATTAAAATTATTTATTTATAAATTATTTAATATGCCAGCGTTATGGGGATTCTTGGGTATTTATTAATTTATTTAGAAATTATAAGTTTAATAACTTATTAATTAAAATAATACTTTAAGAAATAAGTATGAGTATTCAAAAGTGCTTATCATTTTTTAAAAATGCTTATCACTTTGGAATACTCATAATGTATTAAGCGGGAATCGACTCTGTATTTCTCTATTAGCATCAATGTGTAGTGTTAGTATTGTAATATGGTTGAGTGCAATGATGGCTGGCTCATTTGTCACACTCGTGAACGGGTGCCACTTGCGGGATTGGTCTATTCTGATTAAGGCAACTTTTGACAAATATGCTATAGGATACGCTGGTAACTCTATTACTCCCCAATTTTAATTTAAAAATGAATTTATATTTTTGTAAATATGTACGAGGACATTTGAAATAAGAATAAGAGCTGAGTTTCTTGTCAGTTTATTTGAATATTATGAAATATATAATTGAAGAGGTTACAATACTTATTTTACTTTGATATTGGCAAATGCACCATAGTGCCAATCCATTACAAAAGAAAATAAATACTTATTTTTGTTGGAGTTTCCAACAACTATATGTATAAAAAATTCTTTTCAGCATTTGCCACAGCCCTTTGCCAGTTACCTTATGATTACTACCACGTGTTACACTTGCCCCACGATCCGCCACTACATCCGGTGCTGCACAAAGCGCCACGGACCGACTTCAGCTGTGCCAGTCGAACTAGGGGATATTATGCAGATGTACACACCGGATGTCAGGTATTTTTTTTTATGGATGATTATGGATTGGTTTCAAATTTATCACGATACTTTTTAGCGAGAACCACGTAGACAACCTGACAATGTACAAATGTACTATATGGCTAGCGGAAGGGTTGTTAGTCCACTTTAGCTCATTTGAAAGGAATAAGAGCTAAATTTCTTGTTAATTCTTTTCAGCTCGAAAGCATTCCGATCTGACGGTAGATTTGACATATCATAAGTCTGTAATAGAAATATTTTGATTAGATTTGATTACTAACAATCCCCTTCTTTGGATGATAATGGAATGGTGCACACGCCTGCTATAATGGATTACGCCGGGGCACCAGTGGAGAATGTTAAAAGGAGTATGAGATCAGGTCGATTACCCTATTGTGACTATTCATCAGGAATTTATCAGGATTGTTTCCAAGTGAGCCAGTAATCACAACGTTAGGAGTTCTCCAAAAAGACGTCGTTCTCGTTAAGGTGTGACGGATGTCAAAGTGTTCGAGGGTTACTAGATATCTAATTATGAAAATATGAAATTTCGAGTATTAACAAATCTAGTGTTTTTTTTTTACCACTGAGCTGGATATCGATTAGAACATGTGACGTCACACTATTACCACGTGTCAAAAAGGGAGTAAGGGGAGGGGGTTCTGATGTTTGTTGTTGTCGTGGGCTGCAATAATTGGGTTTCATTTTCTCGAAATTTTTAATGTTGGCTGCATTTGATCTGAAAAAAATTCTGTGTAAAAGTTACAACAAATACAACAATTGGCTTGTGACGCTTACAGAACAGAACCTATTGGATACCACACCATTTGATATTTTTCTTCTGTATAAAGTAGGTTTGTTTTGAATCTTAAAGATAAATAAAAACGCCATGATGATATTTTCACGTCTCTGTAATAATAGTTTATTTATAAAACAAATTAATGCTACGCATTCCACAATCAAGATATGACACAAAATATCCGACTCGAAGGACCAAAATACATATAATATACAATATATAAAACAGTATATGTCCTTTTTTTATATTACTATGGTGGCAAACAAGCATACGGCCCATCTGATGGTAAATGGTTACCGCAGCCTATGGACGCCTGAAGCACAAGCACTGTCTTGTACAAAAGCTCCGGAACAAACAAAATATCTGGCTCGAAGGACCAAAGCTATATGTAAATGATCTTATTAAATCCTTTAATAATAATTTATTCATATATTAAATGAATGTTACGTATTTTACATATGAAAGAGGTTTTTATTAGCTTATCTTGTTACATTTTTATAGGCGTACCATTTCTGTTGGAGACATCGACTAGTGAGCACAGACCTCTGCGCCAATGGAACACTCTTCAATGAACAGTTCCAAGTAAGTTGGTAATTTTAAGGTCCTCTTTGTATAACCTTAGAATCACCTGTATCAAGTTTACTTAGTAAGCTGTCTTTCAGTTGAATCTTTGATATTAACGGTAAAGTAGTCTTTATCCGCGGCTTCGTCTGTTTTAGTTTTAGGTTTAGTTTAGGGTTAGGTAACTAAACCCTATGTCCCTCTACTTGATATTGCTCTATCTATTATATATGTTGAATTTTATTAAGTTTTGTTGAGCAACATGATAGGGAAATCAAACGTCTGTTTGTTTACAGATAGACAAACACACTTTCTCGTATATATTGGCTATTAGTAATAATACTACTAAACGATTCACACAGCGTCATCTAGTCCCAAGCTAACCAGAGCTTGTGTTATGGGTACTAGACACCTGATACAAACACCTATATATTTTATTTTTATTAGACCTCTCTTCTTGATATTGATCTATTTTCATGTAGAATTTTATTAAGATTCGTTCAGCTACATGATGGTGATAACAAACGTCTGTTTGTTTCAGGTAGACAAACTTTCTCGTTTCTATTAAATATTAGTAATAATAATAATATCCCTAAACAATTCACACAGCGCCATCTAGTTCCAAGCTAATTAGAGCTTATGTTATGGGTACTAGACAACTGATACAAACACTTATATATTTTATTTTTAATACATACATAATATATACAGAAAACATCCAAATTAACACAAACAATCGTACGTATGAATACAAATGTTTGCTCTGTACGGTGTGTCGAATTCGCGATCATTTAAAATAAGGCGGGGTGCTATACCGCTAAACTACTGGGGCCGTCATATGATGTGAAAAAAATTGAAAACAAAAGGATTTTGAAAAGTATTTGGTGTTTATTTCAAAGGCAATAAGGTTTACTTTGAATAAATAAAAAAATGTTTTATTTCAGGTATGCGATCATTTCTACAACGTGAGATGCGGCTCGCCGTATATTGACTTATAAAATAAAACGCATATTTTATTTTAAACTTATTTATTAAATCGTAGAAAAAGTAAAAACAATAGTTTTATTATCACTTAGTATATGGGGCGTTAAACTAATGAGTATTTGTATTAAGAGAGAAATTATTCTCAAAAGAGGCAAATATTCTCACCATTGCTTCAATTTATGTACTCAAACTAGCTTTTGCCCGCGACTTCGCTCGCGTTAATTTATCCCCTTAGGGGTGGAATTAATCAAAATCCTTTCTTAGGGGATGCCTACGTCATGGTAGCTTTATGCATGCAAAGTCTCAGACCGATCGGTTTATAATTGACAAAGTTTCATCTCCTATTTTATCCACTTGGGGGTGGAATTAATCAAAATCCTTTCTTAGCGGATGCCTACGTCATAACATCTACCTGCATGCCAAGTTTCAGCCGATCCGTCTAGTGGTTTGGGCTGTGCGTGCTATATTTAGATATTCTATATGTTCACAAAAACCTATTTCCAAAAAAAAGCAATATTCATAATATTAATACTAGATTTAAAGACAAACTTTCTGTCCCCAAGTATCGTTTAAAAAAGTCAATAGGTCTTTTATGGGAATAGGTATAAAAATTATGTGAGTAGGCTTTTCTCATTGGATAAATTAAAATATATTTATATTAAGTTTAATTTAATAAAGATCATTATCACTATTACTTATAAAGCATGTATCTTTCCGAATTTAATTTCATAAAGATTAAAGACTTGAGTAAAGACTTCATTTTTGTTTGCAATGATTAAAATTTGCTTATATTAACTTTATTTGAATAAACATTATTTAAATTTCTGTGATTTCCTCCCAATTCAAATTGCTATCGAATGATAGTTAAAACTATATATTAAGATAAAAAATAGTCAACTGGCTGTAGCGTGAAGCACTAAGTGACTTTACAACATAGTCTAATTAGGAAAATCAAGGGATTTTACCATGTTTTATTTATTTATATTTTAAATAGTATATCTGTACAAAATGTAGTACACTCAGAACTATGCCCCTCCACTCTCCACGCTACGCGTCTATAAAACCGTAACTATATACTACATTTGGTCCAATTTATTACTATACAAATATATATACAATACATAGAGGGATATATAACAAAGAAGCTTGAATTGAGGACGCCGCACCAGGCGGAGGTGTATCGCCATGTACTATTTCATTCTCCTTCGTTATCCTCTCGATCTCTTCTGTTATACGCTGTTCTTCTAATGCTAGATTGGCCGCTTGATTGATGGTTTCCATTATGGGGTAGTTTGCGTGCATGGGCTCAGGTAATCGGAGTTGAAGTTTACCATCAGATATGACATAGGAGGTGTCGGTGTTGTCACGGGCTGGAAGTAATAGAGAATTATTTATTTCATTGCTGAAAGGAATTATCAAACTAAAATGTCTTCATTCGTCTGATATGGCAACTCTACTCTACTACTCTACTCATTGATTTGTAATAGTTATTAATAATCTGGCACTTTTTTTGTGGAGACCAATGTATAATATTTGTATGTTTGGAAATAAATAAATTATTCATCCTTACTTCCTTATTAATATATATAATCGCGAAAGTAACGTGTGTGTGTGTCTCTCTTACGCCAAAATTACTGAACCGATTTAAATGAAATTTGGTATACAGATAATCTAGAGCCTAAAAAAGGACAAAAAGGTAGTAACGGGTTAAAAGGTTGTATGGATGGATCTTCATTTTTAAAGCTAGAAGCCTCAAACTTATTTTTTGAGCTGTTGATTAAATATAAATAAATATGACATTTAAAGTTTATAAAATTTGTATCGTTAAGACCTAAAGGGGGTAAAATAAAATAGAGAATGACAGTCTATATGGAAATAGCCGTTTTTGAAGCTAGAACGATGATTTTTTTGGGGTAGATTATCAAATCATCATCATCATCATCGCAGCCCGGAAGACGTCCACTGCTGGACATAGGCCTCCCCCAAAGATCTCCACGACGATCGGTCCTGCGCTGCTCGCATCCAATGCCTTCCCGCGATCTTGACCAGATCGTCGGTCCACCTTGCTGGAGGCCTTCCCACGCTGCGTCTTCCGATCCGTGGTCGCCACTCGAGGACTTTACTGCCCCAATGATGATGATGATGATGAAGGTCACTATGCCACGTGGATGAAGTCGCGGTCATTGCTATTTTTTATATACGTAGACTTTGTTAAAAGTCTGCGTAAGTAATACATTATCATTCCAGTATAAAACAAAGTCGCTGTCGCTGTCTGTCCCTATGTATGCTTAAATCTTGAAAACTACGCAATGGATTTTGAAGCGGTTTTTTTAATAGATAGAGTGATTCAAGAGAAAGGTTTATATGTATAATACATGTACAGTCGTGCGAAGTCGGGGCGAGTAGCCAGTAGGCTATAATTTTCTCGTGGGTGAACCGGGCAAATAAATTACAATATAAAATATTACAAATGACAATTTCAAATTCCCTAATCCGTTAATCATTACTCTGATAACAAGTACAACTTACCATCACGCAGTTTTAGAGTCTTCAACGCCTCATCAAGGACCGGATCGTTGACGATTTTCTTGTGTCTTTCGACGAAGTCCATAAAGATGTCGGTGTCTCTGGTGCAGTGCCCGCGGAAATCATCCGTGTCTATGCTCCACACCATGAGTCCGCCCAGTTTGTAATCCATGGCCATTCTAAACAACAAACATTGACGTATTACTTAACATGTTTATATTATTTTGTTTAATTCCGCTACAATAAGAGCTAGACAACAAATATTCAATGTTTTCCGCTTTCTTTAAAATTACTACGTTACCCTTAGCATGTCAATAATAATGATGATGAGCAATTCACATAGTGCCATCTAGTAACGGTAAGCAGAGCTTGTGTTATGGGTACAAGACAACTGATATAAATACATAGATATTTTGTTTTTGTAAATACATATACAGTATACATAGAAAACATGCAGACAAACAATCTTACTCATTTATACGCTGGCGGGGCACTAGTGTAGAATAATATGATGAATATGAAGTCAGGTCCATGATGGTGGATTTAATTGGAATTAACTGTGAAGATTTCAAGGGGAAACTGGTTTAAGGTCAGCCTGACAAGGTATATTTCTAGTCCCCATTACTAACCATCCCTTCCCCTTATATAGTTAATAAAATATATAATGACTATATATTACAACTAGCTGAACCGGCCACGCATTGCTGTAGCTAAGATTAAATAGTATTGCGACTATAAATTGAGTATAAGCTATCCTATCCTTCAAGTTGTATCAAATTGCAAACAATGTGCTAATCAAATTTGTAATAAATTCAGTTACAGTTCACAAGTCCACCGCGGACAAACAACGCGGCAGGTAATTTTTATATATAAAGATATGTAATTACCATAGAGGATATGTTAATTAAAATAACATACTTCACTTTAATAGCTATGGAGCGTCCGTTGTCATACGATATGATCTTGTCACCATTACGTAGGTACGGTGTGGATGAAGACTCATCCCATAATCTGTCCCAGGGTGATGTCTTATTGTCCAACTCTAGGCATATCTGTCGAAATAATAATAACATTACTGGAGTATTCACACAGAGCCATCTAGTTCAAAGCTAAGCAGATCTATATAATATAATATTAGATACACTATTGTATTGGGTTTAAGACTGTAAGAATAGTTGTGTAAATAAATAAGTAATTAAAGTAATATTATTTTGTTCAATTCCGCTGCCATTAGTATGTGTGAGACCACAAATATTTTACGCGGCAACCTCATAATTACTAATAAATACTCTCTAATAATTATAATAATAATAACATACCTGAAGAATTACACAGCGCCATCTAGTCGCATATTAAGCAGAGCTTGTGCTATGGGTACTAGACAACTGATATAAATACATAGATACATTTTATATGTAAATACCTACATCGAAAATAACCAGAACAAAAATAAAAGTGCGGAAATTCATATCAATGAATTAATATATTTATTTATTGAAATGAATTTCCGCAATATAACACCGAATGTTATAAAATAGAAATAATCTTCTTATTGGAATGAAGATTTTTACTCAATACCAGCATTTTGAATAGTCATATTATTTTATTCTACCACTCATTCGGAACGTAGACTCTTCACAAGAAGAATGAGCAAGAAATTTGTGTGTTGCTGTTTTGAATAGATGTTTTATAAAAACAAATAAATATGTATCTCAATATTCATTCTCACCTCATTGTACCCCATGAATCCATCTTCGCCTGTAAACCGTCCCTTGAAGCTGACATTTTTGGCTTTAGTTCTTCCAAACTCAACCTGCTTGGTCTCAGGGTCGGTTAGGACGAATGTCCGTCCGTACATGGGCAGACCTAGTACCAACTTGTAAGGACTGACACCGTGGGAGAGCATATACTTTATTGTGAATTCCTGCAAAAAAAAAAAACAATTATTTATTTAATCCATAATTAGATGTCCATCAATTTTCAATGAATAATTAATTATTACAAAAGAAACTAAAGTACGCACGATTTAAGGACGCAGGAATGCACGATCTGGCGGAACGCGTGGACTTTCTCGATCTTTTGTCTACATTTAAATACTCAGATTTCCTGTGTGAACGGCGATTTGCGGGTGAAAGAACATACGTGTAACAGCACATATTCAGACTCAAAGTCATTCAAATAGGACTTTGCGGTTTCTTACGCACGTCATATTTTTTATCACTATACCTGCCGTCCAAATCGCCGTCGTGATTTTGATCTCTGCTGATATGAAATCGGAGTCAAGTTGTGCCCCAATACAGTAGCTATGTGATCTATGATATATTAAAAGAAACTAGGATAAATATATATACTGACCAGACTTAAAACATCTTCATCACTTCCACCTCTAAGAGGAGCATTGGCACCAATCATTCCGTCCCATTTGCCATGGTAATCGTAGCACATCATGTGTATCAGATCCAAATACCGACTCAGTTTGGGAAGGTCGTAAGCAACCTCCATAGTGTCCCTTCCAGCTCCCAAAGCCGCTGTTAGAATGTAACCTTTATCTTGGAAAGCTTCTTTCAGTTCCTGAAATTTCGTATTAGATAACATTAATAGAAGAGAACTATACGTATACGTAGGCAGTCTGAAAAGTTTTTGACCTTAAACCAAAGATGGCGGGACTCTTTTGATAGTTTGATACTCTATAAAGTTTCGGCTAGTTTGGATATGCGTTTTTAGTTCGTTTTTATATTTTTGAAAGATATTCATGTTATTGAAAGGTAATACGCCTACGTATAACAAAAATTAGTTAGACTCTATGTATTGGGACTCTGCACCATCATTTACCACAGTGAAATTTTGGGCAGCTAAATTTAAACGTCGCCTAAAGAGCTTAGGAGACATAGAACGTTTGAAGACGTCCAAAAATTGGAACTACTGACGATTACAATACTAAAGTTTGCCAAATAGTGTTAGACGATTGTCGAATTAAAGTGTGAGAGATAGCAGAGGTCCAAAGAACATGCAAATGTCCAAGGGACGTGTCTGTCACATATATGAAACTTGGATACACCATTATACGGCCGGAACAAAATACAGTCAAAAAAAGAAATCGGCTCCAAACTGTTTTTTCGGCTGGGAAAGTGCTGGCAACTGTATTTTGGGACAATCCTGGAGTTATCTTAATTGATTATCTTTAAAAAGGAAAAATCTTTACAGGAGCACAACTACGCTCATTAGCTTTTATTGATGACTTCCGCCATCATTGGGTTGAGGTCGGATACATTTCAGAGCACCCAGGTATAACATAAGGCTACAGCTAACCAGCTGTGAAAATATAATAAATGATTGTTACCTTCACAAGGGTGACGTAGTTATCTTTGTCCTCAGGTTTTCCTCCTCTCTTAGATGGGTATTCCCAGTCAAGGTCCAAACCATCGAATTTATATTTCCTGGAAATAGAAAATAGGTAGATACGTTAATTTTTTATACATCAATTACATACATTGAGTAAATGGAAGTTATAGAAAGGATAAATATAGAAATAGGAGAAATAGGGGTAGTTTATGTGCGCAACGGTGAAAAGGCAACCAATTCAGATAAACCTATAACGCTGGTATTATTATTGACTTTATAGTATACTAGCTGTACCGGCAAATGTTGTTTTGCCTTAAAATAAAAAATAATTAGGGGTGGACTACCCCTAACATTTAGGGGGATGAAAAATAGATGTTGGCCGATTCTCAGACCTACTCAATACGCTCACAAAATTTCATGAGAATCGGCCAAGCCGTTTCGGAGGAGTATGGGAACGAAAACTGTGACACGAGAATTTTATATATAAGATAAGGTAATTTAAGGTAATATAACTCAAAATATTGTTGGTGTTGTTCTATAATTTTGGTTGCATCGTAATTCCCTTTAGTTTTATCTATATCCCTGGACAATTCACACAGGACCGTATAGTCCCAAGCTGAGTCGAGCTTGGGTTACGCATATTAGATAACTGATAGATACACTTAGATTTTTGTAAGTACAGAAAAAACACCCAGATCAATACAAACAATTATACTCATGAATACAAATGTTTGTACCGTCGAGGAATCGAATCCACCATTGGAAGTAAAGCAGCGTGCAAAACCGTTACACTACTGAGGAAGTCAACGTTTGCCACTTCAACTAGTAATATAACAAAATAATTACTCCAAAAACGCCATCACGCTGCCAATAAATGCCTCTCTGCTTTCCTTCTTGGAGGCCATTGCGGAGTACTTTTCTGATCCCTCGTTCCATCCTCCAATCGCTATGGTCACCTTCAAGTGGGGATACCTGTTCTTCAGGCCCACCATTTGGTTGTAAGCGCCTGATTCCTTTTCTATATCTAACCAAGGATCTGTAATTTAAAGAATAAATTTCAGGTAAGATGTACAATAAAAGAAACAACGTAAACATTATTATCATCATCTCAGCCCAGAAGACGTCCACTGCTGGACAAAGGCCTCCCCCAAACATTCACCAATATATATTTATTGAATTAGGTGTTATTTTGCAGAAATTAATTTCATTCCTCAATGGATTTATATGATATTGTTTAACTCCGCAACCATTAGAATGTATGAGATCATAAATATTCAGTGCGGAAACCTGACCACCTCTACTGGAAGTGGTACTACACGCTCCTAAACAAATTCTTGTACTGATTGTAAACTGATTTTGAGTACTAATAAAGAAATAAAAGTCAGCATAGGGCTTTCAAGCTATAACCGCTGGAATTTACTATAACAAACATATATTTTGAGAAAAATCCTACCCATTATTTTAATTCCATTAGTGTCTGGGTTCAGGCCCGCAAAGGAGTACACCAGATGGGTACAGAGTTGCGGGTTCAGTTGGTTCACGTTGAAGGAACCATCGCCTTTCCTGTAAGCTGCCCATGTCGCTACATAGCACACTACAGCTTTACCATGCGTTGGTCCTGAAATAGAAATAAAAAAATAACAATACCACGCTGATCGATCCCCCATCCAATTCAAACGGATCGAAATTACGACGGCCTGATCCGGGATTCGATACCCAGCGGTGCCCTCAGACTAAAGTGGTATCCGTCAGGCGGAAGTTGGCCTTTAGCCGCTCCATAAGTCCTTCCGCGGGTTAGGAGTGCCATCTGCACTGGCCTTGTACCGTCCGGAAAAGCTGTAAAGGCCAGCTGAGGACAACAGCGTTAGAGTAATCCGAAAAAAAATTGATATAATTTCACAAACTCATCTGTGATGAAAGTCGTGAAGGTATGTAAGTATGTCTGTATAGTAGAACAGGGCCACTCCAGATCCACTTGTGAATCTAAATCATCAAGAAGCCTACAAAAAGTTAATTTTCGCCTAAATTATGTTTAACAGACGAATATAAATCTTATTATGTAATACATAAAGTACTGTATTCTATTTACATCGGCCACGTATATGAGAGACGCTCATAGGTATTTGTTATGCCAAAGTGAATCTTCTGTAAATGCTAATAAGTTACATTACAACCACCCAAGTTACACTTGGTAGATAAAAATGAACTTTATTGGTTAATATATAAAATATTTTATTGTATCTACATCGTCAAAATATCAATGTATTTTGTTACGCCAAAGTGAACCTTGTTGCGAAGGTAATAAGAAACATTGCAACTGGTCAGAACTGAATGCCAATTACCCTTGCAGTAATGTCAAACGCGCTATTAAAAAACCTCGTCCAATATTAGTGCAAACTAGAGAGACCGGTTTGTTTCATAATTTGAAACTTTTTAATATCATATTGACCGATTCCGAGTCTATGTAAATTCCATTATCATCTATTTATATTTATATATAAATATAAATATAGATATATACAATACTAGCTACTCGCCCCGGCTTCGCACAGGCGTACATGGCGAATTTTGAAGCGGTTTTTTTAATAAATAGAGTGATTCAAGAGGATGGTTATATATAATGTATGCCTGATACATTATATATAACCACTCTAATCTTGAATCACTCTATCTATTAAAAAAACCGCTTCAAAATTCGTAGAGGTGTTAAAGATTTAAGCCTAAATACATAAGGATGGACAGACAGCGACAGCGACTTTGTTTTATACTACATATGTAATGATAATACTATACAAATAAATAACATCAAAATGTCTGTTTGTAATTTCAAACGACTCTCTCTCGAAGATAGCTAATGTTATAAGCAATAATTTAGACTACTGTTATTTTAGAAATGTTACTTATTTTAGTTCTACGTGAACGAAGTTTTGGTAGTAGCTAGTTTTAAATAACATTGATAACTAAATGTTGGCACAACCTTCAAAATTAATTCAAACTTACAATATGTAAATGGTTTGCACAGTCTTAAGAAAATGGCGGGATGAAATCATTATATTAAAAATAATACCTATTTATAATCTATATTATTAATTATTAATATTATAAAGTTGAAGAGTTTGTTTGTTTGTTTAAACGCGCTAATCTCAGGAAGTACTGGTTAGAATTGAAAAGTTCTTTTTGTGTTGGATAGTCCATTTGTCAGGCAGGTTTTAAGCTATATAACATTACGCTGCGACCTATAGAAGAGAAGCAGCAGTGAAAAATGTTGAAAAAAACGGGGAAAATTATTCATATTTGCGGGCTTCCGTTGCGTGCGCTGCGTAAACAGTTCAAGGATACCCAAAAAATATATATGATGTGTCTGATAACCACGCGAACGAAGTCGCGGGCACAGCTAGTAATATAGATATATGTTGATTGATATAAGACATGCCTATGTAATTAATATCTATATATAACATTCACTAAGTTATGAACAACCGGACGAAGACAGGGCGGGCAACTAGTCATGTAAACTATTATCAATATTAAACTAAATAAAAATGTTGTTGACAAAATTAGTTTTTAGAATATTCCAGTATAATCTTACTAATATTATAAAAATGATTTTTTGCGAGTATGGTTGGATGGATTTTGTTACAATTTCACGCAAAAACTACTGGACTGATTTTGAGGAAACTTTACAATATAGCTTATACAACGGAATAACACAAAGTTAGTACGTAAATTGGGCGAATCATAATAATAAATGTCAAGTATATACATGTGTAATGCAGACGAAGTTGTGCGGGTTAGCTAGTTTATTATGTATTAGCTACGTTCTTCGCACTGGTGTACATATATTATATATATAAACTTTCTTCTTGAATCACTCTGTTCACTGCTAAAAACTGCATTAAAATCCGTTGCGTAATTTAAAAGATCTAAACAAACAGACGGCACCAGCGACTTAATTTTATACTATGTATATAGATTGAAACCAGTTTAATACGTGCTCTGAATTGATACCATTTATTATGCGTCACTCTTGGTGACTAACCCAGTAACGAATCTAAAAGGAAAAGGAAAAAATATGACATTCCACAACTCCTCAGAGCCATTCAAAGTTGACTATACTTAAGACAAATGCCCTTATAAGAAAGAAACATTCAAATTAATCTGTGCTTGCTAAAAAAAGATTTTTTTTTACTACGCGTCTGTTACGATTTTTTTTTCTTAAATTGTACAAGCATAGTCATTTTGTTCATTCATACAAGATATCCCTGTAAAATAATAAATAAAAAAAAATCAGAATGTCTTTTTTTCGTTTAGTTTGTAATACAACAATTAATGCCAACATTTGTTTGTAAAAATACACTATTTTCATTTGTATTTATTTTGGATAAAATTAATTCTAATCTATTATTATAATAATAATAATTAGTAAACACTGAAATATACGTAATTTGAATATATATTCATATTATAAATTGTGTATATTTTAATGTAAGTATATTACACAAATTTGGTTTCACTTTATTACATTGTTATAAGTTACGACCACGGAAAATTTCCACACAGTTTTAAATTCCCGCGCCTATGACGTAACATCCACAGAGCACTAAACTACTTTTTATAAGAATGAGCACTGCAGTCAGAATCGAATCGAAATTGCATATATGGAATCTGTAATGGTTCTAAAAAACAACACCTTGTACAATTTTATATATATTTTTATTTCGCGAGATTATACAAAAAAAGTTTTAAAATTAAGTCGACGCATCGTAAATATTGACGTTAGTAATCTCAATTTTTCTCAGCAAATACAAATCATTTGGAGCTGATATTTAGCTATTTCATTTTTTACATCTTTGACATCATATTCATTGTTTTTGTTACATAATTGATTACCTTTTGTAGCAGAGAAAAAAATCTCAAAGAATGGTCTTATTAAATATAGATTTACATGGTACAAGAAAACGGGTTTATTTAGGACATATTTTCCACAAAATTGCTTCTAAATATCTATGTTAAACGTAATGATCATATATCATCATAGTTTCATAAAAATATTTTATGCCAATTGAATTAAGCCTGGTAAAATCAACTATTTATGTTATAAAGATTCTTTTTTAATTACGTACCAAAGAGTTTTTCATTGAGTTTTTATTATGCAGAGAATTCTGAGATAAATTAGTAATGTTTTCACTGTCATTTGATTTGAGAATGATATTATGGAACAGGGTCTATTATATTGTTTCGGATAACAGATTTTAAAGTTAATATGAGACGAACTTCTTAGCATTCCACTATACGGATTCACTATACGGTTGCTTGGTCCATCATGTAGCATTGAGGGAAACTCCGAACAGTTCCCGGGACTCGTAACCCGCGTGTAGGTAAGGGGCACCTTGCCAACGTATGTCAAATCTCACCTTCGCCGCGTGTTTCTCTCACTGCCCGGACAAATCCGGTAGGAGCCTGCTATTGCAGCTCTAGATACAAGTTCTAATATAGAACCCATTACAGTTCTGAATAGGCCAAGATCTTTTAGATGATTGTAGAGAGATTTCCCAAGTACCATGAGATACTTGCGAAATCTCTCGGTAATGAGCGGTAGATAAAAAAAAATTGTTATGACTATTCAAAAGTGCTTAAATTAAGTTTATTTTAATAAATGATTTTCTATTTTATTCTCTACAAGTAGATTTCGCTAGTACCCCATGCGTAATAATTTATAATTTATATGCAGTATTATACGCACCACATAGCTATTTTTCGTTTTTGTTAATTAGTTCCTAATAATTATTTATTTTATTGTTATTATATAGGGCGCATTGAGCTCTACCAGTGTTTAACGTTTTTTTTTAAATATAAAACAACCTATTACCTGTAAATTTAGCGTAAGTGTACTAAGTAGATTTGTTTGTTTATGGTGTCGTATAAAATAAACTATTATGACATGGCGGAATGCGAATCTTCAGCTATTTCTTAGATTAATAGTTTGTTAATAATAATAATATAATAATAATATGTTTTATTTATTATTAGTTAATGGAGTATACAATGCTATAAATACTAGAGACTAAGTCTGTGTTGAGTTCTGCTAATATCAACTCTAGAAGAGAAATTTTAATTAAATCTTTTATTATTAATTAAATGAATCGTTAATGTTGGTTGAGTATTGTTGAGTAGTGCGAAAATATTACGTATAAATACAATCAAATATTCATCAAGCAAAATAATTAAGGGCCTTATAAACATTTGAACCGGTCCTACAGTGTATTTTATATCCATTAATACCTGTTTGAAATATCAAACATCCATTTTGTACCTACTAGCAGATAAATAAAATTTTCCTACAGAATTTTAGGTTTCAATAATAGTAAATTAACAATATGTAATATTATTCTAAATTTGAAATCGTAAAAACATGTCCAAATATTTCAAGTTTGAATTCATGTTCAGACAATGTGGTAACTATTCTAAATTTGAAATCGTATAAACATGTTCAAATATACCAAATTTGAATTTATATTCAGATAATGTGGTATTCTATTCTAAATTTGAAATCGTATAAACATGTTTAAATATATCAAATTTGAATTTATATTCAGATAATGTGGTATCCATTACAAATTTGAAATCGTAAAAACATGTATAAATATACCAAATTTGAATTCATGTTAAGACAATGTGGTAACTATTTTAAATTTGAAATCGTATTCGGTCGACTTAATAAACTATTCGATAATTGAAATCGGTTTCAGAAACCATTAATACTATCATTAGGTTTATGAAACAAGTTAATTTATGACAAGTCGCACCATAAACATTCCATATGCCACGGGACCTTTAAAATTTGGCTAAATTGCTACTGATATATATATGTTTCCGCTATATATGTTGTCGAATACCATTTCGGGAACGGCTTAACAAAGAAAACTGTAACATCGCATTCTACTCACCTCCATAAGACTGTGAGTCCACAGAAATCCCAAACAACAATATTATAGCACACACATATAAATGTTTATACATTTTTTATACGAAATAAATATAATAATAGGTTGTTTTGAAACTTTCTAAACGTTTTTGCGTAAACCGGCGACGCGGCGCGTTTATCGTTTGGCAATGAACTGGAGTCAGTGTTGCTATTTCGCCTTTCACTTCTGTTGCCATGATGCTAATAAAAATGTACACAAAACGAGTTACACCTGTTTTGTTTCGATCGACTATAATTATATGTTTTTTCTAGAGACTGCAGCATGGATATACAACGTTGAGAGCGTTGTGGCCTCATGTTTACTACCCCGTCTTACAACCATAAGGGTTTGAGTTCAAATCTGATTGACACAGAAAAATACATTTTTCGATGAAAATTATCCATAATTAAACCAGAAATCAGAGTAATTATAGAAAAAGGGTAAAACTCACTAATCAGTGATATGACATTAGGATTGCCCCCTGACATGTTAATAATAATATTTCAGGAGAATTCGCACAGATAACCAGACTTGTGTTCTGGGTACTAGACAACTTTTTTTTTAATTTTCTGTGCCTATCCTGCAATCAGTCGGAGATTATGAACAGATGTGGTGTATGTGTTACGTCGCGGGTAGAGAGTGATTCCCAGCAGAATCATCGTCTCTTTTGGTGGTCCTGGCTAATCATCGGGTTCCAGTAGCCTACGCCTTTTAAGACGACGTATGTTGTCAGGGACTATCAGTTGGTTGGCCAGCGCATTAGGATGGTTTACTAGCCGTGTCTTGTACTTGGAGTAGTGGTGTTTTATCTCTTCGGCTACTGTGTTTCTGTTGACATACTCATGAACCTCAGATATTTTTGCAAACCATGGCACATTTATAAGCTGTTTCAGGATGTTATTTTGTGCGCTTTGTATTATGCTTATGTTTGAATTTGCAACAGAACCCCACAATTGGATGCCATAGGTCCAAATGGGTTTCAATACAGAGTTGTAGAGGAGAAGCTTGTTGTCAAGGGATAATTTTGAATTTCTGCCTAGCAACCAATACATCCCTTTGTATTTTATGTTTATTTATATTAGACAACTGATATACAAATATTTGTACCGTGTGACAAATAGAACCCGCGACCATTGGAAATAAGGCGGCGCGGCGTGTTGCTAGATCACCGAAACTGTCGAGTTGAATTCAAATAGGATATATTTGAATTCAATTCGACAGCCTTGGTGGTGGACAGCGAAATGTGGACATTTTAAATTTTGCATATCGATAATAATAATTTCAAGACAATTCACACAGCATCATCTAGACCCAAGTTAAGCTAGCTAAAGCTTGTGTTATGGATACTAGAGAACTAAGTCAAATATATAGACATATTTTCTTTCTTAAATACATACATATTATACATTAAAATACATCCAGACCGACACAAACAATCATACTCATGAATACGAATGTTTGTGCCGTGCGAGGAATCCAACATGCGACCATCGGAAATAAAACGGTGTACTAAACCGCTAGACCACCGAGGTCGTCGTATACATATAGATAATCTCTGTCAACCTCGTCCAGGTTACGAGTCATGACAATATTTTTGATGAAACTTTACAGTAACATAGCTTATGCATTTGAATAACACATAGATTATATTTTATAGTGAATTTTAACGCGGGTGAAACCGCGGGCATAGCTAGTATCTGTAAAAGTTACACAATATGTACATTTTTGAAACATTGCAACACTTATTCGGTGGACGCTCTCTACTAAGATTCCAAGTTTAAACTTTGCAAGCGACCAACCGTGTCGCTATCTCACACATGTTACCGGGAAAACGACTATTGTAATATCCTTCAACTTGATGTTGACATTCAAAATAATTCCTTATAAGGATAATAATAATAGCCTATTTCGAGATAATTAAATATAGCGTAAGAATATCTTATATATAAAATTCTCGTGTCACCATGTTGTTTCTCCCAAACTTGAATTTATAAATCAATCTGTATTATTGTAAACATGTACAACATTTATTTGAAAAGAATACGAGTTGAGTTTGTTTTCAGTTCTTCTCATCTTGAAATCATTCCGAACTGACGGTAGATTTGACATATTGTAGGAGTCTGTAATAGACCTACTGAATGAATCAAGATATTTTCAATTTTAAATTGAGTTACCATACTCCTCCGAAACGGTTTAACTGATTTGTCTGAAATTTTATATGCATATTAATTAGGTCTTAGAATCGGCTACTATCTATTTTTCATACGCCTAAGTGATAAGGGTTGTCCACCCCCGATATTTATTTTTATTTTTTGGACAAAATTAAAATTTTTTATGTTTTTATAATGTGGCATTAAAATGTATTCGATCCTAAATTCATACCCCTCTATCACCAAACTTTTCATTAATTTATATGGCAAAACAACATTTGCGGAGTCATCTAGTAGCATATAAATAGATATATAACAAATTTGGACTGACTGTAGAGTCAAAAAAATATTTCTACTCAAAAGTACTTATAGACGGCTTGGGTAGACTAGCATACTGCTTCACTTCCGGTGGTCTCGGGTTCGATTCCTCACATTATGTATGTTAACATTTTCATTCATGGATATGATTATCTGAATCGGTGTCCGTGTTTTCTACGTACATTATGTATGTGTTTACAAAAAAAAATATGCATAATATAACATTTATATCGTAAACCTTTAGCGCAGGCAGGTGAAACATTCCATTATCATCCATTAAAAAAATTACATAAAATTAAAAATAAACGGTTAGGTGCCTGAATAGTTGCGGTAAACAATTCGTAACTACTCTTATTTTATTCGTAAACAAGTAGGATATGACGCATTATTACATTTAAGGAAATATTTTGTGTTGTTATTGTAAGAAACCGTTACTTGGGAATACCTTGCTACTTAGTTCATAGCAAATATATCGGATTGTCCGCTCCAGAGATACTGGACATCAAGCACTGCTACAGGCCCAGTGCTTCTGGACGTGGACATTGACATAGAGGAAGGGGAAACGAAAGGTTAAAACATATTTTAGTCAGTTGTTTAAAAATAAATAAATATAACATTAAAGGTTTGCAAAAATTTTATGGTCAAATAAAATAGGATAATTATAAGAAAGTTTTAATAGAAATTTTTGAAGCTAGACGGATGAAATTTTGTTGGTTTGTTTGTAATACTTTATTGTACAATAACATTATAAATATAAGGACACAATTGACTTAAAAAATAAATGCATACAATGGCGCAGTTATGCCAAAAGAGGGATTTTTTCCAGTCAACCTTTGAGTTACTGAGAGGAATTGTGGAGTGGTGGAAACTTTTTTCTTTTTCTATTACTCTATTTACATCTATTTTTGGCATTTTTAGATTAGATTATTAAATATTTGATGCTATCCAAGATCCACGCGGACGCGTGTCGCGGGCACAGCTTGTTGTATACAAAACGGTACAGTACGAGTGAACTATTATTGTGCCCAACTGCCTTTTAAAAACCATTGGGCGTGACAGTATGTTGACATTCTAATAATATGAGTCACATTATTAAAAAAAAACAGTTATGTGCGAGTATGATTTAATACCTAGGGATCCGTACATAAATTGTTAGACTTTTATATTGCTCTAACGTTTTGCATAATGTAATCATTACAATTAACTTCATGTTTATTACACTTCATTATTACATAGTATAAAACAAAGTTGCTGTCGCTGTCTGTCCCTATGTATGCTTAAATCTTTAAAATTACACAATGGATTTTGAAGCGGTTTTTTAATAGATAGAGTGATTCTAGAGGAAGATTTATATATATAATATATGTACACCCGTGCGAAGCCGGGGCGAGTAGCTAAGCAAATAATAAATAAATAACTCTAAACAATAAACATAGCGCCATCTAATTCCACGGTAAGCAGAGCTTGTGTTATAGGTACTAAGATATTTATTTTGTAAATACATATATAAAGCACATAGAAAATACCCACAGACCGATAAAAACAATCATACTCATAAATACAAATGTTTGCACCGTGCGAGGAATCGAAGCCGCGACCATCAGAAGTAAAGCGGTGTTCTAAACCGCTAGACCACCGAGGCCGTCGGTTAAATTTAAATTATTATTATTAGTATACATATACGAGTAGATGTAAATAATCCAAGTAACCCTAAGTCTTTAACTACAGTTAATTTTCTACGAAATTGCGTGTCGCTTTCGTTCTTTAATGAACGTAGAACAGTCGTTTTGATCTTAAGATGAATACAGATAACGCAAGGGGGGAGGATTGGAAGGGATTAGTAACAGACAGCGTGGTGGATTACAGGTTCACAGCCGTGAATTGTGCCTGAAATATAAATCAAGAAACTATAATCAATGTTATAAACTATAATGTTAGAGACAGTATCGGGCCAATTGGAGATCCAGCCTATGTACGACGTTCACACTCGCCAGTCTTTGTGAAAAGATATGAACCAAATACTACTTACATATAGCTGAATTGTCGGATATTTCCCTGGAGTAAGGGGGGGGGACGATTTTCCGTTATTGCGATTCACACGTCTGGTTTCCATTTCAGATTCGCTTTCCACTTCAGGTTACACAACTTGATTGAAAGTTCACAAGTTGTGTGTTATATTCCTCAAATTTTGACTTTATGAGACATAGCTACTTTGCATCGAATCGGGAGACAGTACTTCTGATCATGAGAGTTGTCACGTGATCAGCCGATTGCTCTTACGATTGGCTATAGTATGGTTAAGAAACTGGTCAGTAATTGGTCATTTCAATTCACTTAGACTGCGTGTGTGATTCAAATAAATTAATTAATATAAATGATAACGAAACAACTTGTATACTGTAGCTGCTATAGACAGAGTCGATAACGTGCACGTGATACCCCTGGTGTCTCAGTTGTCTATAGACAACGGTAACCATTTACTATAAAATAGATCGTGTGCTGGTTTGCCACCATCGTGGTATAAAAAAAACAGACAGTTCCCTTTGTAGGGGTTTTGAAGCAGAACAAATGGCTCACGTAATCCTGGAGTTATTAGCAGTGGCCACACAAAGAAATCAAATCGAAACGGTGAGATCGCTCTGTGAAGCATGGCTGGCTATTTCAGTAGTCTCAGCTCTACATGCACAGCGGTACAAATGAAAATAGAGATAACGGAAATTAAAGTCCAATGTACAATTCAACAAGATCTACATACTTTCGCATTTATAACTTTTTTTTAGAACTTTTAAAGGAAAACTATTCCGTCATATGTATTTTATGTGTAATTTTAATCGTTTAGGTAAAGCACGCAGCCGAAGCATTGAAAATTAGTATTTTTTGCCACATTTTTCATTGCTGCTCGGCTCCTATTGGTCGTAGCGTGAGGTTATATAGCCTATAGCACTCGTGGATAATATACCTTGCTAATATAATAACAACAATCCACAGAACCGAAGATTAGCTCGGACAAACAAACATAATAATATATACATTACTACTTCATAATAATAGCACAGATAAGATAATATTAGTACATTGGGCTCCCTAAAATATGGCCGAGCACAGTGATGGCTGGCTCATACGTCATACTCGTGAACGAGTGCTGCTTGTAGGGACTGGTTTGCTCATATCACTGACTGATTTAATCTTAATGTGTATTTATAGACCCTAATAAATTTGTGCTGTTGGTAGTTTGTACTCACACGTTTCGGCTTGTAAACTTTCAAGAATTATTTAAAAGAGCAACACACAAGTTTCCTGCTCGTTCTTCTTGTGATCAAACAGCTTTCCGAATGAGCGGTAGATTAAAATATTGTTGTGACTATTAAAAAGTACTCAAATTAAGTTTATTTGAATAAAAGATTTTCTATTCTATTCTACATGATATTTATTTCATATCACGACAACATAGTATAAAACAAAGTCGCAGTCACTGTCTGTCCGTCCCTATGTATGCTTAAATCTTTAAAACTACGCAATGGAGTTTGAATATAACATACACAAAAGTGGTATTATTTGAAAGATTATGATATTTGCTAGCATTTTTGTAAACTAGATACTTAATGAGTATTAGGCAATAATTAAAACACGTTTCTGTTTACTTTCCATATTTCATTTTCATAAAAAAAAACAATAATTAGTATTATATAAATAAATAAATTAATAAAAAAGTTAAATAAGAGATCATATCTCAGGCATAGTGATTAAATACAGAAAATTGGCAAGCAAAAATCTTTCAGTCATTGTTATAAATATTACAGTCTAAATCAGTTATTATAACAGTTTTATCAGAATGTTATATTATAAAAAAATGGTCCTCTGTCGCGTATATGATATGAGCTGATATGAGCAATGAAGTTCTGAGTTTTGAGCGTTGAGTGTTGAGTGTCGTGTGTTGAGTGTAGAGTGTCATGTGATAACGTAAGGTTAGAACTTCGAGAGTCGACTGTAGAGTATTACGTTTTGAGTGTCGAGTGTTGAGTGTTATGTGATAACGTAAGGTTAGAAGTTCGAGAGTCGAGTGTCGAGAGTCGAGTGTTGAGTATTCGGTTTTGAGTGTCGAGTGTAGAGTGTTATGTGATAACGTAAGGTTAGAAGTTCGAGAGTCGAGTGTCGAGAGTCGAGTGTTGAGTATTCCGTTTTGAGTGTCGAGTGTAGAGTGTTATGTGATAACGTAAGGTTAGAAGTTCGAGAGTCGAGTGTCGAGAGTCGAGTGTTGAGTATTCCGTTTTGAGTGTCGAGTGTAGAGTGTTATGTGATAACGTAAGGTTAGAAGTTCGAGAGTCGAGTGTCGAGAGTCGAGTGTTGAGTATTCCGTTTTGAGTGTCGAGTGTAGAGTGTCATGTGATAACGTAAGGTTAGAACTTCGAGAGTCGACTGTAGAGTATTACGTTTTGAGTGTCGTGTGTTGAGTGTAGAGTGTCATGTGATAACGTAAGGTTAGAACTTCGAGAGTCGACTGTAGAGTATTACGTTTTGAGTGTCGAGTGTTGAGTGTCAAGTGGTTAGGGTAAAAGTGCGAGTATAGAGTGTCGTGTGTCGATCATTGAGTGTTGTATTGAGTTTTAAGTGTAAAGTGTCGGGTGTCAAGTGGTTAGGGTTCGAGTATTGATTATCGAGTGTAGTGAGTTGATCGTTGAGTGTTCAGTTTTAAGTGTTGTGTGTCGAGGGTCGAGTTTCGAGTGTCCAGTTTCGAGTGCCGAGTGTTAGGGATAGAAGTTGGAGCATAGAGTGTCGTGTGTTGAAGGTCGATCATTGAGTATTGTGTTGAGTTTCGAGTGACGAGTGTCGAGTGTTAGGGATAGAAGTTGGAGCATAGAGTGTCGTGTGTTGAAGGTCGATCATTGAGTATTGTGTTGAGTTTCGAGTGACGAGTGTCGAGTGTTAGGGATAGAAGTTGGAGCATAGAGTGTCGTGTATTGAAGGTCGATCATTGAGTATTGTGTTGAGTTTCGAGTGTCGAGTGTTAGGCATAGAAGTTGGAGCATAGAGTGTCGTGTGTTGAAGGTCGATCATTGAGTATTGTGTTGAGTTTTGAGTGTAGAGTGTCGAGTGTCACTAGACACTCGGCACTCTACACTCAGGTCAGGTCAGGTTAGGGTAGAAGTTCGAGTATCGAGTGTCGTGTGTCGAGGGCCGATCATTGAGTATTGTGTTGAGTTTTGAGTGTAGAGTGTCGAGTGTCACTAGACACTCGGCACTCTACACTCAGGTCAGGTCAGGTTAGGGTAGAAGTTCGAGTATCGAGTGTCGTGTGTCGAGGGTCGATCATTGAGTGTTGTGTTGAGTTTTGAATGTAGAGTGTCGAGTGTCACTAGACACTCGGCACTCTACACTCAGGTCAGGTCAGGTTAGGGTAGAAGTTCGAGTATCGAGTGTCGTGTGTCGTTGTGTTGAGTTTTGAATGTAGAGTGTCGAGTGTCAATTGGTTAGGCGTAGAAGTTCGAGTATTGGCTGTCGAATGTCGAGAGTCGATCGTTGAGTGTTGTGTGTCGAGTGTTGAGTGTCGAGTGTTGAATGTTGAGTGTCGATAGTTAAGTTATGACTTTTGAGGGTTGAGTTTTAAGTTTTGAGTTTGAGAGCTTTTCCATTATACGCATAGTCTAAATTTCGTTATTGCGACATGCTAACGTTAAAAATCTATATAGTTGGTAACAGGATTAATAACTCCTCGGATCCAATTGCTGGTGACTTTTACGTTGTGGTAGATTCCTGGCTGGTGGTCCACCCCGCAGCCGAAGCCTGCCGAGGTGATCCCCGCTAAGTAGTACCGACCATTGTCCAACACTATTAGAGGACCTCCGGAATCACCTGATAAAGAGAATAAATGATTAAAGATGAAGAAATTATTAAAAATGAAAAAATAATTAAAGAAGAAAGAATGGTGAAAGATGAAGGAATTAATGAATGTGAATTAAATGATTAAAAATAAAGAAATTAATGAATGTGAATTAAATATGATTTTTTAAAATGTAATTAAAATATCAAACAAGCTGACACCCCTTTGTCCGTTGATGATAAATGGTAATCGTCACCTATATACATGGACAGCACTCATGTATTGCCATTCTAGAGGACTAAAATGTAATGCATGTTATCCTGTAACTTAAGTGCCAACCGAAACAGCTTACAAAGCAAGCTGCTGGGTGGCTGATTCTTTTGTATGCGCCAAATAAATGTATTTTTCTTTGATTCTTTTGTTCTTACCTAAACACGCATCTTGGTGTCCATCAGAATGTCCCGCGCATATCATCTCTGAGTGGATTTCAACAGAGATCTGTTTACTTTGATGCCATTTGATGCACTGTTCTTTGCCTGGAAATTAACAATCACAATTATGCATATTATAAGGTAGTCATTTCAGAGAAATAAAATTCATATAAACTTAATGTAACTATGTTTGGACAGAATTTATTTTGCCACTCGTTTCAAATGCAGTTTCAGCTAAAAAGAATTAGTAAGAAACCTGTCTGATGTCAATAAAGGCTGATGAGTTGATCTCGAATTTGGATATTCGTCGATTATCGAACGATGTCATCACATAATCGAATCGAATATCGTTCGATAAAGACGCGGTGCGTAGTACCGTAGTGGTATATTCTTGATGAGGAATATACCACTATGGTACTACGCACCGCGTGATCAGTCGGACATAATATCATAATATATATCGTTAGTTATGGGGCCCATAGTACACAATACTTGCACAGAAACCTTGCCTTCCATAATAAATATATAAACAGTAGGGAAAAAAATTATAATGTAAAACTTGACGTTCATAAGCGGCTAAAATGTCCTACATGAATAAATGATTTTTGAATTTGAATAAAATAAAATAAGAATATTTTTGTCATTGTATAGTTTAAGTAGTATATATAGTAAAGTACAATAGATTTAAAATATAAACGTGTTGGCAATTATCTGCAAGTTTATATAGTTTTAATTAAATAAATAAATAAATAAATGGTCCCTATTAGCAACATAATAAATAACATGATAAATGTGGGGGGAGCCCACATGTATCATGCGCTACTAGACAGCAATGTTGCCAGACAGCAATACCTCTGCTGGTACCATTCGGGTTAACAGTCATGGTCTTATTTTATATACAAAATTCTCGTGTCACAATGTTAGTTACCATACTCCTTCGAAACAGCTTGAGAGATTTTATGAAATTTTGTAGGCATATTCAGTAGGTCTGAGAATAGTCTATTTTTTATACCTCTAAGTGAGTGATGGGTTGTCCACCCCTAACATTTTTTAGACAAATATTTTTATAATGTGTCATTAAAAATACATAAAACTCTAAATTTTCACCCTTATATCATCATCCCATATTTTTTAAAAGCGATTTTAATTTATATGGCAAGAGATCGTTTCCCCGCAAACGTTGTTTCAGTTTGTATTTTTATAAAAAAAAATTTACTCACTAAGAATAGGCACCGTGGCGGATCTCAGCAGATTTGTCCCCGTGTGACTGTTGCTGGCATCAGTCTTTCCCCAACCAGCGATCACCCCCGACCTCCCCTGCAGCTCCAGGTCATAGTCAGGGAGACAGATGGGCAGGATGTGGCTCATGTACGTAATAGGTCGGGATAACTTCAGGAGTGCAATGTCGTAACGATCTGGTTGGGTCATACGGAATTGGAATAAGGGGTGGAGGATTTTTTGGATAACTCTGAAAAAATAACATATTGTTTTATATACATTATGTATGTATTTATAAAAATATGTAACAGAGGTTCCGTTTAGCTTAGGACTAGATGAAGTTGTGTGAATTATTCATTTCATACAACTATATCTAGTTCCAAAGTTATTATTATTTTTAAGGCGTTAAACGTAGTTGCGAGGTTAAAAAAGACGTCTTTTATGAAATAAAATTTAAAATAAACAAAAAATTAAAAATTCGGGTCTACTCATCATATCGGAGGGGCGAACAGGGGCGCCGGTGTGAAGCACCCGGGCGTTGCACTGGGACTTCTCTGACTACCCAGTAAGGATTTACGGATACAACTTTAGTCTAAGGGCACTGCTAGGAATTAGAACCTTGGCTCAGGCCGTCGGAATTTCGAACTTCGTTTGAATTGGATAGGGGGTCGATTGGAGAAGCGCTCGGGCGATGCACAGAGTGTTCTCTGACTACCCCATTAAGAGATCTGTCGTGAAGATAAACTGTCTCACCCCAGTTTCCTGGCGGTACGCGTGCCAGCGGTGTCGTGTGCGCCGAGCCACACCGCCACGTCCCGCGGCCTCGCTCGCGACACGCAGTGAGCCGCCGTCGCCACGAACCGCCGTGACACTGTCCCAAACACACACACACATATCATGTACATGTATTGTAGTTACTGGACATTATCTGCATTTATACTACATGTCTTCACACGCTAACAGGAGTGCGTGGAATTCATCGCGGGAAAACCAGCGCGCGCAATCGTGAGAGATTGTTAGACTATTCAAAAGAGCAACACACAAGTTTCTTGCTCAATCTTCTTGTGATGAATCAGCGTTCCGAAAGAGTGGTAAATCAAACATATGACTAATCAAAATTGCTTGTATTGAGTTTATTTGAATAAATATTATTTCTATTTCTATTGCATTTAACTATTTTATTTGTTGACAAATTCTCACGTATTCGCGTGTATCATTCATGTCATTTGACTATCTTTTAAAAATATATTTTATATTTTCAACATTTTATTTTGCAGTAACACGTTAAAGATTTTTGAATTATTAATAACTATATAAATTATGTTTTTGCTTCATACTCAGATGGTCGCAATACATTTACATGCTCATTCTTTCTTTCACCCGGAAGAGCAATACACAAGTTTCTTGTTCGTTCTTCTTGTGATGAGCCAGCTTTCCAAATGAGCAGTAGGTCAAAAAAATTGTGATGACTATTCAAAAGTGCTTAAATTAAGTTTATTTGAATAAAGGATTTTCGATTTTATTCTATTCTTTCGCGAGTGAAATATCGTATCGTAGGCATAATGTAAAATTAGGAAAAACCACACGTTTTCACCACGTTTTATTTTTTATTGAGATCCTGATATTTAGGCTGTTATTCAACCGTTATGAAAGCGAAGAACGGCGGGTATATGATAAATAAAATTATGTGCAGACATATTCGTCTACCTTGTTATCTTAAATATCATAAATTTATATATATGTGTGTATAGTGATTAGTTCCAAAAAGTCGAGGGAGATAAATACTATCATTTACCATAAATTATTAGTGTTAAAACCAGTTTAACTACGTTAATAATAGTGTTACCACTTCTAGTAATGTCACAGTTAAAGATAAACTCACCAAGAACACCTCCGCATTGAAACTCTGATATTCTGACGTGAGCCTGCCAGGGAAACTCAGCAAACCGAGCCTCCCGCCCGCCAATGATTCTCTTTTGCAGAATCCGAGAGGAGGGTAGTCCGCAATCCGCCTGAAAATCATATATACCGGCTTACTTGATTTGTTTTAAAAAATTGAGTTTAATCGCTATATAATAATAATAATACGATGATTTGATGGCCTTGATGGTCTAGCGGCTTTGGACACTACATTACTTCTGATGGTCGCGGGTTCAATTCCTTACACGGCACAAACAATTTAGGAGTATGTTTATTTCTATCGGTCTAGATGTTTTCTATGTTTATTATATATTTATTAATAAAATATATAAATATTTTTATCAGATATTTAATATAATATATCCAGACCAATACAAACATATTTAAAAATACAAATGTGTGTACCGTACGAAGAATCGAACCCGCTTCTATTCGAAGTAAGGCGGTGTGCTAAAATAAAATAATTATAATAATAACCCTGGATAATTATCACAGCGCCATCTAGTCCCAATCTAAGCAGAACCTTTGTTCTTAGAATTAGAATGAACTTAGAGTAGTAGGGGGGAAAGAGATTGTTAGTAATGTGGACTAATGAACTCATTACTAGCAATATATCATATCAGGTTGACCTCCACGCTGTCCCCTGGAAACCATCGTTATATTCCTGGTGAATTTGTCACGATGTGCTAACTGACCTCACCTCATGCTCATCTTAACATTCTCCACTAGTGCCCCGCCAGCGTAAACCGTTAAAGCAGGCGAGTGAATCATTCCATTATCATCAAACATACCTTACATTAACGATATTAGTACTTTGATAATTGTCAGAAATAATTTATGTGGCAACACAATCTTTGTCGGTTAAGTTAGATAAAAAATATGTAAAATGGATTCTAACCTGAGTCCCGTCATCGTCTACACGCCGCCGGAACATGTTAGCTGGCACCACGCTGCGCTGAGGTACTTGCCTCAGCTGTGGTGGTACCACCTTCTTGTACATCCATTCTGATGATGGTATACTTGAAATAGACACAGACAGAAAATATTTATTCATATCAATTGAAACATATTTCATGATCCAAGCAAACATATACAAGAATGTTATAAAATACACATACATTTTGCATTATAAACTGGTCTCACACATGCTAATGATAGCGGAATTATACAAAATTAAATAAATGCATTAAGTTGTGAAATGGACTGTCGTGAAATTTGATATTTGAACAGTTAGCCTTCTGAGTAATCAGCATTGGTATTTTTTAAGCATTTTATGAAATCATTTCACTCATCGTACTTTACTTTTACTCAAAGCACTTGTATCCAAATATAAAGTTCCTACTGAGCTATCGAGTTTGCCTATATTTATAAAAAAAAAAACTAGTGCCTCCTTTACCATCATCCCGCTCTCTAGCATGTGGCACTGCAGTCACTATCGAGTTTTACAGAACACCAATATACAATCTCACCGCGGATATATCTTTTGAATTCGTAAGTGATGACATATGATGATTACAGAATTGCTGTACAGGATAGGATGGTGATGGAAGCAAATGTCTTACCTGTTATCAAAAGGCTCACTGGTTCCACTTTCAGGAGGCACACAGCATGAGAACAGCCAACTGGATCCGCAGCCTTTGACCCTGGTGGCACCTCGCAGCCAGCAGGTCAGGGAGAGGGTACATGGCCTGATTTCTGACCCAAGGGTACAAGTGGGAGAGTAGCCGAATATTGATGCCAAAACTCTGCTGGTAAGAGCTGAAATGTAAAGGATTTGAAATGTAAAATTCTTTATTGTAATAAATTTACGTTGAAGCACTTTTAAATAGTCTTTTTTTTTTATTTACCGCTCATTTGGAAGTCTCATCAAATGCCCAAGAAACTTGAGTGTTGCTCTATTAATTAATGTAGTTATACCAAATTTAAGTATTACAACTTAAATATGTTACAAGTTGTAACATAGTTGAAACATATTTAAGTATTTTAACTTAAGTGTATATACAAATTACTAACTGAAACTTAGCTGTATTTCTTTTTTTTAGTTTGTTAACGTTATTTACTTATGTAGGTGTCTATGTCTAACATTAAATGAAAATTCCGTACATAGACACCTATTGCCATTCTCGTTTGTTATTTAAATAATAGTTTAGTGAGTAATTGCGGTTTACTACCCCCACTTACTTAAAAGGTTGCGAGTTCAAATTGGGGCGAAATAAAAAAATGACTGTGTAATGAGGGAAACAAACAGAACACAAAAAATAATCCGAGAGATGGATGAAAGAAAAAGCTTAGCTTGGGATTACATGGCGCTGTGTGAATTGTCCAGGGTTCTTATTTTAGATATTATAAGACTATTAATTTAATTAGAAGACTTTCAGGATGCTTTCTTCTATGTGTTTTCTTACTAATCGTATAATCTTATTAAACAATACATTAACGCAACATATCGTATTTCAGAGATCGGAAGAAATATTCTAAAAATAGAATAACATTTCAGTATGCGACTTTGTACATAATGTTTAATATTAAAATATATGGGTTGCTATTGTATTTCAATCTAAATATATATAACTCAAAGGTGACTGACTGACATAGTGACATACTGATACAACGCACAGCCTAAACCACTAGACGGATCGGGCTGAAATTTGGCAAGCAGGTAGATGTTATGACATAGGCATCCGCTAAGAAAGGATTTCGATTATTTCTGTCCCCAAGGGGATAAAATAGGAGATGAAAGTTAGTAACTTTGTCAATTTTAGATCGATCGGGCTGAGACTTTGCATGCATAAAGCTACTATGACGTAGGCATCTAAGAAAGTAATTTGATAAATTAAGGCGAGCGAAGCCGCGGGCTAAAGGTAGTTGTAAATAAGAATTTACTTACTTTCCGCATTCACTGGTCCAGCAACATTTAAAATAATTAACGGTATCAGAACAGGACTCAGCCGCCATCTTGTTTTGCGGCGCCATCTTGCTTTTTCTATGTCATCGCTGAATAAACAGTTTTTCCTCTTCTTCAGAACTGTGTCTGTGTGTTTGTTTGCATTCGATCTATGGTGCTTGTGGTACCATTTTGTGTGTCCATATTTCACCGCTGACATTTCTCTGGAGTGCTTTTGTGTTGTGACATTGCGAGGGTCTTCGTGATGTCAAAATAAATGTTTCTGAAACGAGAGATTTATTTATTTATTGGATGATCTATCTATATTCATACATATCTATATTCATAGTAGTGGGGTACTTTTATATCCTTATTAAAATTATAAATGCGAAGGTCTGCTTGTATGTCTCGATTTCGCGGCAAACTACTGAACGACTTCAATGAAATTTGGTGCACAGATAGTCTAGACCCTGAGAAAGAACATATCTGCTTCTTAATGCAAAAAAAGGGTCGTAAAGGATTGAATGGTTAGATGAAAGTTTGTATGGATCGTCATTTTTAAAGCTGGAAGCTTGCAACTTATTTTTTAGGTTGCTAATTAGATATAAATAAATATGACATTTAATGTTTGTAAAAATGTTACCCTTAAGAAGTACAATAAAATAGGGAATGAAAGTTTGTATGGAAAATCATCATTTTTAAAGCTAGAACGATGAAACTTTTTTCTTTATTTGCTCAAGGTTACTATAACACGTTGACGAAGTCGCGGGAATAGCTAGTCATACATATAATTTTATTTATCATTCATTAATTTGAATGAACGAAAATGTTTTGAAGGCGCGTCTTTATGTATTAACATTTCTACTTTCTTCTACTTATAAATTACTTCATGTCATATATTCTCAACTCGCGGGTCGCTATTATTGACGTAGCTATTTTATATATAATAAATGTAGAGACGTTTTGATTTACTAGCAGTTGGTTACGAAATCGTCCGTTTTTTTAGATAAAAGACATAATATGTCGATCGTCGACATACTGTCTATCTTTACGACAAATTTAATTATAATCTGCTTAGTCGTTTAGTCTGGAAAATGTAACAAACAGACTTACACAAACACATTTGTAATTTAATGTCCTAATAATTATTTGTAATTAGGTTCGATAATAGGGCTTAATAAAAGAGAAAAGTCGCAGTCCTTTTGTTAATCATAAATTTTAAGCGGATCGTTGTTTCTAGCGAGTTTGAATAGTAAGAACAAATGAGGACGTGTGAAGGTAGATGACTGTCTGCCCATACAATATATTATTTACCAGCTACCCGCTGCTCTGCTGTTTATCCGTGATTATAGCGGCTGACACTGCCCAAATATCGGGAACTCAATAAAAATAAATAAAACGTGGTAAGATCCCGTGAAATTTTCTACTTATACGTATTTTTTGTTCCTATTTTATTTATATACACCGAATAAATATTTAGTGTTTGTTATATTTGTCATTGATTTTCTGATTATTTTTTTATCTTAAAAACTGTGTAAGTTCTACATTTAAAAAAAATATCTATGTGCAATAAATATAAAAGTAGCGATGTATTTATTTTAAATATTGCGACCCTTACCATGATGATTCTGACCTGATTGGTTGTTGTATTATAGTTTATTAAACTTGCGACCCGAGCGACAATTTGATTGGGCAACACTGTTTTATATAAATTAGCTGGTAACAATTTATGCGCATGTGAGCAAACGTCTAACTTTCATCAGATGCAAACGTAAACAAAAGTGGTATTAGAAAATATACATATAACTTTGTAATGTGGAAACTAAATAATATTATACAAGCATATATCTCATATATAAAATTCTCGTGTCACAATGTTACCATACTCATCCGAACCGTCTTATATGCATATTCAGTAGGTCTGAGAATCTGCTACTACGTATTTATAATACCTCTAAGTGATAAGGGTTGTTCACCCTTGTTGTTGTTGTTGGTTTTTATTTTAAGGACTTATTTTTTTATAATGTTGCATTAAAAATACATACATCCCTAAATTGTCACCCTCACCTATTTGTTATTAGCGATGTTAATTTATATGGCAAAACAATGTTTGCAGAGTCAATCCGTATATATATATATAACTATTTATTTTAATTAAGTCATAACTTTTACTATTATACTATACTACTTTTATACTAGAGTAATCGCTCGCGTTAATTTATCCTCTTAGGGGTGGAATTTATCAAAATCCTTTCTTAGGGGATGCTTACGTCATAATATCTAGCTGCATGCCAAATTTCAGCCCGATCCGTCCAGTGGTTTGTGCACTGCGTTGATAGATCATTACATCAGTCACCTTTGAGTTATATATATTTAGATGTATTTTCCTCGAGTAGGCTGTAAGAAGTCATCTGCGTGGATACCGTAGTATCACCTATTTCAGCCGCCAAGCAGCTTGCTTTATAAGCTGTGACTCGGTTATAGGGTCCAAATTAGGCAGTGAAATTACAGGATAAGAGGCATGACATCTCAGTCCTCAATGACAATGCATGAGTGGTATCACAGTTGGCATATGATAATGTCATAATCCATATTTCTGTTCATGTATATAGGGGACTGTTACAGCGTACCATCAGGGTGGCCACCAGCTTATTTACCATTCAAATTGTAGAACAAACCAAACATAATAGTCATGTATTGGTAAATAATATTATGGTATTATCATATAATATGATTTATATTATATGATAATAATATGATAATACCCCATTAATCTAATGTGAAAAAGTTTAAAAGTTTTTTTATAATTTAAAATACCATCCCGACCATCTAGATGCATTGCGATCCTCTGCCGTGCGTTTCTCCAGAAACGTTCTGCTATGCATAACCACATTGTGAAATCAACTTTCAGCAATAGTTTTTCTGAACCAATACGATTTTGAAACCTTCAAGCAAGGAGTTTATTTGAGTTTATTTTTTTGTTGTTTAGTTTAGTTTACTTTTTTGTTGTGCAAAGAGTATATTTGAGCAACGCACTTGCAATTTTCACAGTGTTACGGTTGCTCATGGGCGGCTCACTTACTATCAGATAAGCAGCATGCTTGTATGTTCCCTACGCTTTAAAAAACTGTTTTTGACAGTCGGTTAAAGTACACAGTCGATTAAAATTCGTAGTCGGTTAAAATACGCAATCAAATAAAATACACAGTCGATTAAAATACGCAGTCAGTTAAAATACGCAGTCGATTAAAATACGCAGTCAGTTAAAATACGCAGTCGATTAAAATACGCAGTCAGTTAAAATACGCAGTCGATTAAAATAAGCAGTCATTTAAAATACGCAGTCGATTAAAATACGCAGTCAGTTAAAATACGTAGTCGATTAAAATACGTAGTCGATTAAAATACGCAGTCAGTTAAAATACGCAGTCGATTAAAATACGCAGTCAGTTAAAATACGCAGTCGATTAAAATACGCAGTCGGCTAAAATACGCAGTCGGCTAAAATACGCAGTCGGCTAAAATACGCAGTCGGTTAAAATACACAATCGATTAAAATACGCAGTCGGCTAAAATACACAATCGATTAAAATACGCAGTCGGTTAAAATACACAATGGATTAAAATACGCAGTCGATTAAAATACGCAGTCGATTAAAATACGCAGTCGGTTAAAATACACAATGGATTAAAATACGCAGTCGGCTAAAATACACAATCGATTAAAATACGCAGTCGGTTAAAATACACAATCGATTAAAATACGCAGTCGGCTAAAATACACAATCGATTAAAATACGCAGTCGGTTAAAATACACAATGGATTAAAATACGCAGTCGATTAAAATACGCAGTCGTTCGCAACGTGCCGCAAGCGACCGCCTCGTGTGCGACCACTTGTGTTTTGCGACCGGTCGCGACCCAAAAGTGCATCGGCGCATGCGCAGCTTTCCCCCTTTAATTACTGCTCACCTCGCTCAACAAATTGGTATTAATTTTCGCCAAGTTTCAATAAAATTGACATTAATTATGAGTTAATTAGCGAGATGTCTCGTTCAACTGGTTTTTTTAATGTAATTGGAACGGTAAACTTTTTTTTTTGCGTCGTAGAGGATCCTATTTGGCTTTGAGTGTCACTGCTATTTTTAGCGAAGTCTACTCCACTAAATATTGTACTTTAATGTTATTTTAACCCTTATATAATACAAGCTCGGCTCACGAATTCACCAGCGTGACATTTATAGTCTGATGTATAAGCTATATTACTATAAAGTTTCATCAAGATGCCTTCATTAGTTTCTGTGTGGAAGAGTACAACAGTTGGATGGACGTTTGTCTCCGTTGAGACTCACAAACTTCTGCGTTTATAATGTTAGTAAGATTAATAATCTTAATATAAATGTGTATGCAATACTGCAATGGATGTCAATAAATATATTTTCTTGTGTTCTTTTTACATAAACCATCCAATCCATTTATATTCGCAAACTTCCACGTTTATAATATTAGTAAGATGTTCCCTTGTTTGCAAATAGGACGATCTAAAAAATGCCTCAGAATATGCTACAGTCGTCGCAACATTCTTGGGTAAATACATTTAGTTGTCATTGAATCGAAAGAAAATGAAGAAGCAGTTATTGAAGAGAATTTCCAAAGTAGCAAGTTTTGTATGGAGAGGGGTGAGGGAGTTTTTTTTATGGATGACAGTGAAATGATGCGTCTTCGCTAACGGATAACGCTGGTGGGGCACCAGTGTAGGATGATAAGATGAGCATGAGGTCAGGTCAGTTAGCCCATCGTTACAAATTCACCAAGAATTTATCACGATGGTTTCCAGGGGGAACCGCGTGGAGGGCAACCTAACATGGTACATTGCTAGCAATGGGGTAATTACTCCACTTTACTAACAGTCCCTTTTCCCCCGGGGTCAGGGAGTTGCAACCTTAATGGATGAATAACAATGGGATCACTGGTCCTCATACAAACAGTATTATTTTTTTAATTGAAATCGGTTTTGGGTTTAGAATCGGTGGTCCAGCGGTTTGGAACACTGCCTTACTTCCGATAGTCGCGTGTTTTATTCCTCGCAAAGTACAACCATTTGTAGTCATGGGTATGATTGTTTGTATCAATCTTGGTGTTTTTTATGTATGTAATAGTAATGTAATTTAATATAACAGTTGTCTAGTATTCATAACAGAAGCTCTGCTTAGCTTGGGACTTGACGCGCTGTGTGAATTGTCCTAAGATCCTATTTTTTTTTGTTTTTTTTTTTTTATTTGC